ACTTGACACTCTTTTTCTAATCTTAAAACACAAATGGAAAAAATGTCACAGCTGATAATACTTGTATACCGGTAGTCTTTTGTGACAATGACAATAATAATTATGTGTCTTTCGTACCTTCTAAATAGATACTTAATAGCCTCATAAATTTTGTTGAAACAATTACCGTTCATATGAGCCATTTGTACTGGGGGCCGGAGTTGAACGTAATTCCAGCCATTTTGATCATATTTCAAAGAAAATTTTTTCAAAAGATTTTTAGATGCCTTGATAAATATTGACGTCCTGCAGCCCTCTGCAAGGTCTGTAAGAAGAAAACATAAAGGAAGTGTGCTCATCAATCTCTGGACACGCAATCATTTACACTAGAAAAGAACCTAAAAGTCAGAAACGTAAACTTTCAAAAGTGAATCGTATCTTACATTGGTGCAAAAATTATTTGTTCAAAAATTATTTTCTAAACTTGGCCTTCCTCAAACTACTTGATTAATATCAATAATCATTTATCCCTAATCTTTATTCTCCAAGGTGGCCACTAAGACAGTATCAAATTGACCAGACAGTGTCCATTGGCTACCTAAAGATTTGCTTGGAAATTACTGATCAAAAACTCTGTATCTGTAATGCCGGCATAACCAAGAGCTTTCATCATGTAGAACGTCCTTGGTATAACACTATAACCACCCTTCAGCGTAACACACCAGCTCAGGCTCTAAAACAAAATTTTATGTACAAATTGCCACATGCATTTAGATTGCTTTCAGTATGCGAAGGAAAAGCTCAGTTGGACAGGCACCATAAACATAATACCTGGATAATCTAACACACGTTTTTAAAAATAATCTATGACCCTTTTATAATCGGTCCTTGGTGTTAGACATTTCTACATACATGTATTAACATGCTAAGTCCACATACTAAGACTTGAAAGAGAAGGAGGATGGGTAAAATAACATGTTAATTCTAGCAAAATAAGGTAAGGAAGATAATCTTTACATGTATATATACATACATCTGTTATTTTACATTGGTAATGATTATGTATGAAATGTGTGTTCCCACTGCCCAGTAACAAGTTTCTAAAAACATAATGCCATTGCCATTGAGTGACCAGACCGTTTATGATGAAGTACTGGGTGATTCAGATTTTTTTCAAAACTTCCATGTTTCAAGGACAATAATGGCTTGCAAGATACCCATTGGCTCCTTTTGGACTTGAAACAGCCAACAGGTACTAGTACCTCAGTAACCAGTGCATCAGGGCACAGTGGGTGAAATACAATATCAGTAAAAGCCATATTTGGTAATGTCACGTGATTTACGGAAAATCTCTAAAATCATGATTGGCTGTGGTTCTGATGCGTCATACACTGTTTCAAGGCGCCCCAATAAAACCTGCTGTGAACGAGGTCGGCGGGCCGGAGGTCACCATGACACTCCACAGGAGACATATCCACCAATGAGCGATTGAATGGTGGAAATTTGGCAGAATGCCAATGCAAACTGCGGAGCAAAATGTTGCTGAGACTGTGGCGCAGGCAGTGGGGCCCAGGAGCGCGGGACGGGCGCGCGGACTGGGACGCCCAGTGCGGAGTGCGCTAAGCACACCCCACTAACCTTGAAATATTGCTTGACCAGTGAGACAATTTCTATATCCTAACAAGCCGTGCAAATGGAATATACTTACCTGGACTGTTTGCCGAGTGGGGAGTTACCAAACACAAAAAAATGGCTCGAACCAAATGACACGTACACGTATACAGAGCATGTCCGGGCAGTTTCACATGTACGGGCAGAGGCGGTACGCGGTGAGCACAACATGCTCTATCTGCTATCGCCATACCTCCGATAACGAAATTACTTACAAATTATATTTTCGTCACAAATGGTAGTGTGTATTCCGTCCAGGGGATGGGCGGTGATAAGCTTTGACTACATAGGGATGGTTCGACAAGATTGAAACCTATCGTTTGTGTCGGCAACTTTTGCATTTCAAATCTAGAGTTGGTTCATGCACGAAGAGAGTGGCATAAAACACTCCGCGAAACACTACACAGACGTTCATACATCGTTCTATCTGTATAATTATTGCTCATTATAAAACAAGACGTCCCTTCCTATTTTTAAGTAATAGTTTGCCCTTGGTTTGTGTCATGGCGACTTCACTATCACATAATTTAAATGGCGCCCTACTTTGTTTTGGCGGAAGATTGTAAAATAAAACGCGCGCCATTTTGAACAGACGAAATGAAAATGGCTAACGTTGTCCGTAAGCCGTACTGTATTTTGCCGGTTGACGCTACAGCGGCGTTCTCAAACAGAATTGTATCCTGTTGTTTCCTTCCTCAAGCCTTCCTCAGATGTTTTGTTCAACAATAAATAATTTTCCCTCATTCCGTTTGACTTGTAGGCGCCCACAAAAGGCAAGTTTGGGGGAGGGGGGCGAAATCCTCTTCCCTATTTCACCCCTTCAAATTATTCAGCAATGTGTCGACTAGCCCGACTGCCCCCTGGTATGCTGGTACCCTCTATCCCCGTAGAAGATTCGGGAAACTTTTTATGACGTGTAACAGCGTATAATTTAAAACTCATGCCGATGATGCACGTCGCCGAAACAGTGGCACTGACTGTCGTTATTGCGGAAGTATTAGTAGTATGCTTCCAAATATACTAGTAATCAGCCACGGATGTAACTTTCTATTCTATGCTTTCAATGCGCTTGGGGTTGGGGACATCATTCTTCGAGTCTATCAGATCTATACATCACAGAAAGACCCGTGTTTCTCTGAATAAAGTATAAAGTACTTCCCTCCCCGGGCTTCCAATATTGACAACATGCAAAATTTGCTCATTGATATGGCAGTTACTGCCATTTTAGCCTGAAATCCAGCCTTGTTTAGCTATAGGTGGTCATACTCATAGGTCCGTTCTCCCTGCCAACAAGTTGGTTCACACACACGAAACACCACATAGACATCGTTGTATCTGTATTTAGTAAAGACAAAGCATCCCCATTTTCAAGCACAGTATTCAGCCACTCGGCATTGTAATTTAGCTATATATACTCTGAGTCTCAGCAGTCCACTCAAAAATTCACTCTCCAGTCTCTACCAACAGAAGCAAATTTTTAGGAGCAGACCTACAGCTTACAAGACTGGAAGTTGAGCCTGGGATTTCCGTGGTGACAATTTAAATAAATACATGTACAAATGTACTAAAATATACAGTGTAGAATGCAAAGTGAACACTCAACCCACTAGCCCCAGGCATTTGCATTTCCCCCATAATTACTAGTACCTGCAATTTTGAAAACTGTCAGAAATGTTACCTGCAATTTGACAACACTGTCTGCAAAAACCTTGATAAAATCACCTGTCTTGATCCTTTGCTAACAAGTAACATTGCCTCTATCGCCAATGTTCCATTTGTACTGGTCTCTAAAGTTCAAAGTTACTGTTATTACAAAATGTATTTTGTAATGGGGTACGAATTAGAGTCTGATCAACTGGGCTTCATTCCATCCCCCAAAGAAATTTCCTTGGCGATTAAACCAAGGAGGACTCACGTAAGTCAGGTTTTAGGGATACTGTATATTATCTCCTTGATCAAATTACTAGTAAGTTGTGAGTCGAATTACTGAATGCAGTATTGGGACAGAGAAGATTTATCCCTCACATTAAAAATAACAAATGAACATTTAACAGCAAGATATGCATTTCAATGAAATCAACTTGAACTGCCTAGGATCTCTGCTGCCCAAGTTGAAAGGGGAGGAGTTTTGTGCACATGAAAAAATTCCAAGCGATTTAAAACTTTTGCTTCTCGACTTAAGTTTGGATAAAAAGTCATGAAATAGAATTGATTATCATATTGTTGCATTCTAAAGTCAAAGGTCAAGTTTTCACACACATTTAAAAACTTTTTCATGATGCGCAAAGTTTTAATGCACACCTGTTCCAGCCATATGATATCCAATCAAATCTGATGGTAAATGGTTGTTCTGTTTTTGATGGAACACTTGCTCCTTTTTCAACATTTTCTGATTTTCCAAAACACAACTTGACTTCAATTGTCATATCATCAATGCCCATCTATAGTCATATAAAAAGTCCCTGGTCCATCCGTAGCTGGTTAAGTATAATTAACATCCAAGTGTCACTTTTGGGAGTATTATTCAGAACTGATTATTCAGAACTGAAAATCTGTAATGTTTGACATGAATAATATTAGCAGTTCAAACATCTCTAATCTGCTGATGAAAAATTGACGTCCCAAATTTTGAGCTAACAAGGACTGGTTCAAAAGATTGAACTTATAAACTTCATCTGTCAGTGTCGTCATTATGACTTTGAAAGAAAAAAGTTATTCAAAGAAGTCTCCAATATCTCCCCAAGTTTTTCACATCAACAAAATACTATATTACTGCTAAAGTCTCCCAACTGACTTACTTTTCAAAGAGTCTGACAATTCATCTCCCACTGCCTGCTGAGAAGAAGTCAATCCTCCTAACAACTTGGCTAGTAATAGAATAGAATAGGAGTTACCATGTCTCCTATTTATGTGAATCATATCCACTCTCTACCCTGTTTACCGTGGTTATGTTAGTTTTAAAGTAGATACAGTAAGTTATAGATAGGCAGATCGTATAAGTAGAACTCTATGTTAGCATAATTATATTCTTAAATTCACCATATTCTGTATTCATAGGTTTTGTCAATGTCTGTTTGCATTTAGCCCTCGGGCACGAACTTGCAATAAAGAACTCAACTATAGAATAAAATTTTTTAAAAATGTTTACACTAGAGTCAATTCCGCGTCACCGAGTGGGTTGTTATTGTCATTATTTAGAAATGTTTTGAATTCTTTGTAATTGTTTGTCTAAGAAATTTCATAATTTGGAAATATTTTGAACATCTTGTCAATATTCTAAATAATTCCCTGGTTTTCTAAAACGTTTGAAATATTCCTGATGTGGATTATGACATTTCCAATAGTTTCTAAATATTTCTAACAGCACTCTACCATTTTTTACCATTATTTCGAATTATTTCTAACATTTTGTAAATAGGTCAGTGGGATGGGAAGGAAGTAATTCACACATCCCTGTGAAGTACAAGGTAGACTGCCTGGGTGTCAGGCATTGATGCCTTACAACAAAAGAGCCACCAGTGTCCAGCAGTAAAATCTAAAAATATACAGAGGAAGACAGAAGAGTAGGATTAGCACCTACTTTTATGGAGGCAATTACCCACATCTACCATTTGGTTATTTGTTTGAAATAGTTCTAAATATTTCGAATTGTGAAAGAAACACATGGGTAGTTCAAATTTATTCTAAAGAAAGAGATCTTTGTACAGTCACATTCAAAATGTTTCAGAAATATATAAATGAATTCAAATATATTCAAATTTTCATTTTCAAATTTTTGAAAAATTTAGAACTTTTGTTACTGGGGTATTCTTTTCTTCTAAATAATTCAAACGTATTAGAAACATGGAGAAAAAACCCACTCGGTGACGCGGAATGGACTCTACTAGTAAGTACATCATTATTCATGCCATGGATTTAAAAAGTTAAAATGGAGCCCTCTCTATGTGTTGATAATATGGCGGATCCTGTGAATTTTAGCCGTTAAACGTACAGGACACATTTGTTTATGACTTTGACACATGAGGGGCCAGAGCAAATAACATCGCTAAGAGACGTTACGACCTCTCCCCTTTCACTTGAAATACCATTCCAACAGGCCAAATTCTTCATGACCTCAAGGAGGTTGTACTGATAGAAAGATACAACAATCTCGATGAAATCTCCACATCCCTTTCATTTTTCTTCACTTTTCCGTCTTTTTGGTAAATCAAGCCCACCCCCTCCACCTCGGAATGGAATAGCCCTAAAGGTGTTTCCTTTCTCTTCATTCATACACGCCACACACAGACCTTAAAGTAAAACAAAACACATCATAACAAACGGATGGAGCAGAAGCACAGTCAGCCACGCTGCGTCAGCCACACATACTTACCGAAGCTGTATAACAACCAAATTAAGCGCCAAAGTTGTGCTGGTTTCGTACCCTGCCCCTGAGTTTCTGTCCACGTCCGTGCAACAACTGTTCGAACTCAAATTTGGCGCTGTAGTTAGGTACGTTAGTGCGCATGTCTGGACTGTACGATATTTGGAAGGAGCGGGGGTGTGATGTAAAATAATGAGGGGGATTTGGGGGGGGTGCATGGAGGGGTTTTTTTTTTGTCGATGGTTCTCTCATTATCGGGCAGGGCCTAGTGGTTAAATCCATAAACTAGCTCGACCAATCAGGGTCGACCGATGATGTCCGCCGGTGACCCCGGACCATGCCCGGACACACGAGCACGTCGGCAGAACGTACTGCGCCTGCGCGATACCCCCATTTTTCACTGTTTTCGCTTGTTTTTGGTCAACGTTGCATTAGACTTTTGCCTGCTGTAGACGATACTTTTCGGGCATAAACTACAGACAAAGTGTTAACCTTATATGCGCGAATAGGACCTTATACCTAATACAATGAGACGTTCTGCCGACGGTTTCGCGCAGGTGCAGCAGTACGTTCTGCCGACGAGCTGGACATAGGCATTCTGTTCGAATGACGTCATGGTTAAACTTGACGAACATGATCGAACATGGTTGAACTTGATTCGAGTTCGAAAAAATAAAGTTTGGGCCATGGTGCAGACACATACGATCACATACGCCCAAACTTGACACGAATATTCAACGTCCATTCAAGCCTAGGTCGCCTTTAATAATCCAACAAAAGCGGGACGATTTTGCTAAGTTTGCTACATCGTTGTTTGCCATCATACGCTATAGACATACAACTATTCCTCTGTATATGTGGTGTCATAGGGCCTGGTACTATGCACCATGTACAACGAGGAGTTTCCCTCCCCACTCCATAAGGTCTACCGGAAACATACAAATAACCCGGGGACTATGGAGTATGGTAGTCGACCTTTAAGCTTTGAACTACACGTGGTATACGAAGATCATAATCATATGATATACCCGATGAATAGAACACAATGTAACAGAAAATATGACTTACGCTGTGCAGTACGGAGAATAAAATAGGCAGATATAACCTCGGTTTGTCAACCGTTTTGTAACAAGATCCATTCGGATGTGGTAGCAATGACTAAGCGACTTGCACTCCGACATGTCATATGCAAAGTCACCGCTAAAGTCAGGCCTCGGCCTGTACTATACAAGTTGTGAGGCATGATGGGTACCGGACCACCCAGGTGTTAACGTTCCCCTCCATGAATCATCAACCTGGCAGATGTGACTTCGAAATCTCCAAGCAGATCATACGGTAGTAAAGGCAGTATCCATTGGCCAGAGGAGTGCGGAGTGTCCATTGGCCACCAAAGGCGATTAGTGACTTTGGCTCGTTTTATGGTGGTTACTCTGGCCATAGTCCAGTGTGATAGACTAATGCATTTTGATGACGGAGGGGGAGACTGGCATAGCGCAGTACTGAGTATATGTACTGTTTCAAGCCTGTCAGCTCAGGTACGGTCAATTTGCTCGGATTACACACAGACTTACAAGAAAGAGTTTTTTTTTTTTCAAACTTATGTCGGACAACTTGTTTATGAAACTGTTTGGATCAAAAAAGAAATGTACTGCGGAATAATACTGCAGCATATATACTGTTTTCTAGTTAATTAAACCCCGGGAAATCTATATAATATAAGAGGCCCGCTCATTGGCCGAGCGCTTCCAATGTGGGCAGTTTGAAATCACTGAAGGCAACCCTCGGAAGTGCTCCGAGAACATTTCTAATATCTCATGACGTACCGAGCCCTTCAGGCCAGTTTTACTCTGAAAGCCGTCTGAAGTGTTAGTCATCACATAAACACCGACATTTCTCAGTGTCATGAAGAAGGAATTGAAAAAAAAAAAAACGTTTTTCTGAATTATGTTGAAAGTAAAAATACTAGTTCGGGATGTGGGCAGATGTCTTCCACGCAAACTGTCGTTTCGGCCTTAGTCGCTAAATGACGCTGCTGACTGAGGACATCACCTGTTCCCAGCCATGGACTCGTAACATAACAGGTGTCTTCATCTGAGCAGGTCTATAAAGTTGAGACGGTCTATAAGTGGCTAACTCGCAGCCCTCTGATCTGGCAAGTTATTTTAGTTATTTTGACCAGATTCTATTTATTCAGCATTGAGACGAGTCTGGTGTAGAAAAACGCCGAAAAACTAACAACTCATCATGACATGTGAGTTATCATGATGAAAAATGACTTATGTAGTGTGCACTTATGTAGGACGCACTCGTGAGCGGAAAGACGACAATTGTTAGTGCTGACATTCTGACATGTTTGTAAAGGGAGCGGTGAAACTTTGAAAGGGGATCCCCCCCTCCCGATACGTCAAACCGGTTACTTCCGCTACCAAGAAATCCCTACAAGTTGCATTTACAAAGTAAGATGGTCGGAGTCATTGAACCCGGAAGTACCGTGATTGTATGTACTACTACTGCTACTACTACTACTACTGCTACTACTACTACTACTACTACTGCTGCTGCTGCTACTACTACTACTACTATTACATGATTGTACCACTACTACTACTACGTTCGGTGAACAGCCAAACTTAACGTAGTGCGACGGTCACATGTCAGAGGTCTTATACGTTTGATCCGATGAAGTTACAAATCTTTGGAAGCTGTTTAAACTTTATGTTTAGCTTCAAGGACTGATAGTAAGCTGGGATGAGGTAATGATCTCTCAAGAATTTTAGACTACTTTCTTCGGCAACGTTGAACTCCTGTACTGTAAAATGGATTACAAGCTATGACGTCTCTGATCTACTTATTTGGACAATCACAGTTTCCGTATTTTTCTCAAATTCGAAATGATAGACTTGTGATAAAAATTGCTATTTTACCCTGGATCATCGCTGTATAAAGTACAAAACCGCTAATCTCCAAGGCAGATCTTTTGGTGGGGGTAAGACAGCATCAAATTGGCCAGTCTGTAACCCTGGCCAATTTGATACTGTCTTACCCCCACCAAAAGATCTGCTTGGAGATTACAAAACACTTATTATCAGTCAAACAATCAAATGAAGTTATGCCTGCCGTGGCGTACATGAAAATTGCACAGTGGGTCGTAACGGAATTTGGCCTAGGCTATGCCACAAGATCTCAGATGTGTGTATAGTCACTAACCTTCGCTTCATGTGTCAACGTAGCTGCGCGGAATCCTTAAAATACTGGCATTCCAAATGACCGATGATGCTATTCACTGTACACCATACATACACACTTATAGGCCTCTATTTCCGGGACATGCGCTATATATCGCGTGACTGTCGGATAGGGTCACGGTGCATTTGGGACACCCCTGTGTTCTATTTATGAATGGATTCGAGCAAGGGTTATGTAACCGGAAACAACGACAAATGTTGCTAGTCTGAGGACCAGGCTTGCTCACTCTTGTGAAGATTCACTCTGATCCTACAGTCGTGACTGTATATGGGATGCATGTATCTGTTTTGATGACGACACAGTTTTGCAGGAATGGCCGGCGATCTCGTCTGGCCAACGATACCCCTTTTAAAATTTTAGGCCGATTTCTACTAGTGCATTTATTCAACCTGCAAAAGGGTCTGGTGGAGACTAGTGAGAATGCCACAGGAAAAGGAAGAGTCGAGCATATCAGTATTCGTTCACGCAACCATTATCACTACTTCCGACCGGAATGACTGTCAGGGACATGAATGACGTGTGCAGTTACAGAGTGGCTGAGATGACAGGATTGGGTCATTAACAGAAGAACATTATATTTAAGTTGTAATTGCTGTGCATTTCATTCGGATAAGACCATGATTACATACATGGGACGATGACTATATATATACATATACACAGATATGTATGTATATAATGCACCATATTATAAAATGCTTTCACTGAAACGTTAGAAAATCGTTGATGATATCATGTCTACAACACGAAGTAGATGTAACCGTAGTTACCGTACCGACCTGAAATATATACCCCTACATGATCACGATTACGGTGAAGGTTGTACTGGGTCCCCAGTTCCTATGTCGTGAAGTTGAACAGGTGTTCCTGGTACTTGCCATAGAACTGGAGTATGGGAGTTATTGTTTGCTTCCAACAGATGGTTTACGTCACGCTTTGCGTACGTCACGCTTTGTGGTGCTTGTAATTTGTCTACGTCGTTACTGAAACAAACAAGGCTGGAGGTGTCGAAAAATACGATTTTAGTCGCCGACCTTGATGCACAAAGATACTCTACAATATTTTGTATATCGATAACAGTGGTGCAGTACTGGAGCGTGGGTGATGGTGAATATTTCTTTATTATTGTATATGACGTGGTGCTTTTTCCTAGAAATAACAATCACATCTGGATTGGTCTGTTCGCCCCATTTAGATCATTTGCCAGGCTAGGAGATGATTAACGTAAGAATTGTGTTCCTGTTCCAGTGTACCAGCCTGAGCATGGTTTTGCGAGCCTGCGTTATATCTGCCTGGGACATACCCGTTTCAGTTTGCAGTAATTATTAAACAGTATCATGCATTGATTTGGTCTTATTGGTCTAAACATACATTTACCATTATTTGGAACCGACCCTTACATAAAGAATGGACAAATCCATGCAGTACCTTGGATATTCAGCAGGCGGTGACACAGTAGTGACACTAGTATCGTATGGAGAACGCGAAAAAGAATTATACTGTATTCGATGACCAATGATCAATAAGCAGCATATATACATTGATCTATTGCCCATTACTCCTCTAATGAAACATGTCCGTTACATTTGAATAGAAGAGTCACTAAGTTTCTAAGTGTGATAAGTCAAATTGAAGTTGATCAGATACTAATAATTTTTGGTTGAAGAAATAACAGCACAGATCTCTACAGGAAATCGGGAATTTGAATAGACTATTAGTACTAGCACACCTACTATCCTGCTTGAAAGCGAAAGAAGAGAACAATCTCATACCGTAAAAGATCAGTTTCACCCGCGTGTGGTCCTCATCAAATTTCCTGGACGTCTGGTCCACCTCTCAGTAAAGCCCAAATTTGTCCTTCACCACTTGATCCAAAAATAAAACAACTCTTTGGTCATTTAAAGAACTGCATGTAATCATTATAAAATTCCTGAACGCATGTTACGTTGCGAAATTGCGGAAGAGGAAGCGTATGCTTTTGCGCATGTACAGTAACATTTACGGTTTCAACAGGTGACACCGTGTTCGATTTGAGAACTGCAGGCCCACAATAAGACGTAGGTGGAAGAATTAGGCCATTGTCCAACAGATTCACCGGGAATAGTGCATATCTTGACGGAGGTTAGAACAGTGTTTCGTTTCCTACGACTTTTCTACGTGTTAACCACCCGATGCCTACATTTAATGCCCTCTAATACCGTCAAATTGTACTTTATGTGGGCTTCGGAATTACAGAATGGGAATGTGGGAAATATTCATGACAGAAACGTCATGCAAACAGTGTTGGTCATGCATGAACTACGAGAAATAATAAAACCAACATCTTCTTGTGTTAAAGAAGATACCACAACGATACCTGTGCTTTGCACATTCAATTAGAAACCAAGGTCGTCGTCAAACGAAATGAGGAAGACGGTACGGTAACAAGTCGACATGATAATCCAGGCGTGCGCCAAACGCCGTTCGATTAAGGTACATTGAGCGGGTATAGTTAAGTTACGTTCTTGGGATTAATGTTAATAATACCAATTCATATCTAATAGGCTACAGGAACGTTAATACTGCATTTTTATACTACTCGTAGCATGGGATAGCTGACCGAAAGTTTAGACCTGTAGTAAAATCGCCACAGACCATGGAGAGAATAACCAAACGAATCTTGTACTTACTGCGCAATGGTGACCAGAAATAGACGGAGGTGATATCAGTACCACAGGAAGGTCATGCCATGACAAGAGGCCGTACGATACCTCTGATAGCAAGCCGGAGGCGAAGCGAATGACCTAGTTTCACAACGAGACGTGTTGTAACTCGTGATCACTGACTGAGCACACAAAAAATGTGACGACTCAACTAAAACTAGTGCGAAGTTTTGGCCTGGCATTGTCCCCTCTGACAACTGTGTAAAGGTGCAGAAGTCACTTGGGAAATAGGATCTTAAAGTGAATAATAAATCCTTTACGCTATGACACTTTCATGCTAAAATCCTTTATGCATTGATGCTAGATACAATAGTTGTCGAGACCATGGTAATATTAAATGAGTAACTTAATCTCTAAAAAATTCTCTGTGGAGTGCTGACTCTCACGTGAGTTCCGATAAGTTTCATTCTGGGCACTTTTGAAAAACAGGAAATAGTTTGGGTTATAAGTACGTATCAAGCAATCAAGGGTTGAAAACGTTGCACCACTTCGAACATAAGGTTTACCGGAGGTAATGACCCCAACTGAGGGATTCCTTTTTTTTTTCTTTCTTTTTTTTATTTACTTCATAATCACCACAAAACAAGGCTAATCAGAGCCACTCAAATGTTTTTGGTTACTGTACTAGACAGTGAGGACAGATGTTTGTTGACCTTAGACTGGAAAAGTTTAACATAACATTATCCCGACTCAGTTGCCTACAAACGACAACCTTAAATTTACCAAACAAGGACTTCCACAGTCTTCCAAGTGCATACCTAGATTCTTACGTAAGTTCCTTAGCTCACTCAAAGGCGGAATGTTCAGGGTCTTGACGGTGCACACCCTCCGCGACTCCGTGGTAGTCCGCGTAAAAAAGTGCTAAAACGAATTTGTGGGGCCACGTTTTATCTTACACTGAAGTTCGAATTTCGCATAATATGCTGCAAAATGATATTAGATACTAATATGTCAGGAAAGTGTAAGAAGTGGTGTTTTGGGATAGAAAATTGATTTTGGCATAGAGCCTTACTTCCGGATATTCTTCCGCGTCGAAGGCGAATGATCAAAAACAGAATACAGTACACAGTGTACTATGATTTTCTTACTCAAAGTTTGTGTCTTTTTGACACCGGTTATTTCTGCCGCAATTTTTTTTTGCCATTTTATGGCCATGGGTTTTATCCGACAAGAAAATTCCCAATTTTGTGCACTAATTATGACATGAAAATAATGATTTCCGATCTGTTAATTTTCACCAAAATTAAAGAGGCTAGCTATAGAAACTTAACTCAGTTGGCCTTGTAGCTGAAGGAATATAGTACATGTACCATCCATGCTTCCGAATTATTCCTTGGCAGAGACGATCACTAGATCCTAGATCTTAAAGGCGTGCAGCCTCGATAATGGAAGGCCGCTTGGGTGTGCTCTCCGGTATGGCCTCTTACTAACAGAGCAGCTCAATGCTCAGTTGAAAGGAGTGCCTGGTAACAGTCTCAGTACATCATTGTCACAGTCTTTTGATGCTGTGATTCGATTTGTTATGAAGTTACAATTGTAAAAGTGTAGAGCAACATATCCCAGGCAGTGCCCCTTCTACTGACATATTGCCTGTCCATGCCCCTCCCCGTGTCAGCTGAGCTGCTGTTGACTATTTTAAACAATCTGATCGCTACCGTAAAGGACAGCTGATTGACAAGCGAGCGCTATTCAGATTTAGATATATCAAGTCATAACGTCGTAACTTAGATCTTAAGAAAAACGACAGATTTTTGACCATAGATTTTCAGACGTATACATACCTGTTGTTCACTCCTTATGCTGACGTGTGCCGAGGGGAATCCCCCACCTGGCTGTAAATATTGAAATGCTCGCGGTTTTCTTTCTACAGAGACTGCCACGAATTCATGATACAGCGAATACACGCTTCCAATGTACATGTATTACTACAGAATTGTTCCACCCGCTAACTTAAAATATCGCGAAAGCCTCCTTTCCACAACTAACGCCGAAAATAGTAACTCCCGACGATAATAAATGAATTTACAGTATCGAGCTAGGTGATGCAATCCAGTTTAAGTCCCACGAGACTGAATAACAACATTGATTATACACGTGATACATCAATAGTCACCATTTTCTGCATGCCAACTGTCTTTGAGGCCTGATAAATTCAATAGTTGCATTGTACAGGAGGTCCGATTGGTCTCCCTTTGTGCTTGCATCGAGGTGCTACAGTACACTGAATACAATGGTTTTAAACAGCTGCCACTCTGGTAAGCTCGATACACGTGTGTTTCTTTACGCCATGTTCACACGAAACCGTCTGAACCGCGATTCGGGACATTTGGTCCACGAGCCACACGTTTCTTTCAAACCGTGCCGGATCACGATTCGCCTAATCTACATCCATCGCTGTTTGATGAAAACACGCAAGGTAGCGTGTTATCAATGTCAGAGGTCAACGACCTGCTTGCTGGTACCCTCTTCCCAACGTACCTCGGTCGAATGCCGACGTGGTCCCGCCAGAGGCGGTGAAGCTCGTCCTAGAATGAACACATTATTCCGCCATTACTGCTCTTTAAGTTGCTGCCACGTAAATATTGGTATTGCAAATAAATCTCATAAATAAAGAAATATCACCCCGTAATCCATGACCGGGTCAATATAAAAGGTGACGTCACATTGGAGTCACATTGCGTTCAGACGAAAATCGCGATCCGGTGAAACCGGTTCGGAACTACCTCCCGAAGTGGTTAGGGATCGAGGCGCGTTCAATGTCATTTGGAGCGTTCAGATGGGGCCACTTGAATTCGGCTTCGGTGGAATCTGGATGGAAAACGCTTACAACGTTTTGGTGTGAACGGAGCCTTAAAGTAACATGCTGGAAGTGTGGACTTATCCTTTTCTTCAACACACGCCGCGCCGGGGCCTGTCCAAAGGAATGCGCGTTTTGTGACATTTAGGGATCAGAAGACCAACGACTAGGTTGAACCCACAAACTTGTGTTTTGGAAGTGAAAAGATGAGGCACAAGACGCACCCTGTTCAGGTATCTCCACACCTTTATTTGTTCCGCACCTGTTGATACATTAGTGATTACCTCATCTATTGTTCACAGGTACATGCACAAACATGCTAAGTAACTTTACTCACTCAAAACAACAGACAGAGGTAACTACGCCGTCTGAAAACCGCCGGGTTCTGTCTCCATGTAACTCAACACATGATAAGCTCAAAGTATAACATTGAAGTTCTCAGGTATAGAGATGCGGTGTCTTAGCAGTTGTAACATAATCTTCAAGCAGATCTTTTGGTGGCTACAAAGGCAGAATCAAATAGTATCCGTTGGCCAGACAGTGGCGAAATCATCGGGTAACTGTCTGGCCAGTTGATACAACCTATTTATTCTGTCTTTTGCAGCCACCGAAAGATCTGATTGGAGTTGTAACAATAAAGTTGAACACATGAACACACTTTCTTTGACGGATATTGAACCCTGTGCACCTTTTCCCCAAATCATCACGGCGTCTCACGGTGATAATGGCCTGTTAGGACAGGTGAGCAGTTTATAACGTTGAAGGGTGCAGAGATTTGGCAGTGCCAGACCCACGTTCTTGTTAAAGGTTCGAAATTCAGTGCAACGGATAAATATCTTTATGATGCCTGAAAACGCCACAAAAGATTTGACGTATCCCGCTGAGAGCAGCCGTGATATACTAGTAGTCGGTGACTGACCCCGTCGGGAAACGCACCTTTGACCTCGGCACATGATCAACAGGTGGTTGCAGTATAGCATAAACACATAGCAGCGGAGCGAGTCGCCATGAGGTTCTTGTCGATATCCGTACTCTTTCTCTTTTTGTCTTCGTCGGCAGCCAAACCTACTGCCGAGGCCTCCTCCTCTGAGGCGTGGCTTCTAGAATTCAGTGTGGAGTACAGCCAGATCGTCTTCAACCCCGCAAAGAACAACTTCCTCGCCCTGGCCAGCAACCCTCATGTGTTCGATGTGATAGACTTTTCTTCCGGCAAGCCTTCCGTAACGCTGCGGTTCGTGCTGCCCCTCCCGGGACAAATGCTAGCTGTGGAACCGGACGGCGCCCTCGCGGCAGTCGCGCACAACTCTTACGTCAGTTTTATCGTCTTGGGTGCGACCGTGCCTTACATGAACACGTACACCATCCCGGTCGTGCAGACGTCGGGGATGGTCGTGGTCAACAGGAAGGTCTGTATCTGGCCGGGATATGGACAGTGGACCAACGTCGTCTGCGTTTCTCATGACGGCAGCTACGAAAGGTAACCTCCAAGCAGATATTTTGGTGGACGCAAAAGACAGTATCAAATTGGCCAGGCAGTATCACAGTTATCCAAACAGAATCCATTGGTCACGTGGCTAATGGACAGTACTCCTTTGGCCATTGGATACTGCCTTGCCACCGTATGATCTGCTTGGAGATTAACGAAAGGTTCTTTTGGTATGAAGATTGTCGTATGGCTAGCCTCCTTCGCAGAGTATACTCACAACAGCATAACTCACCGCGGGAAAACTTCCTCATCGCAGCCCGTGTAAAAATCGCGCTCCCCCCAAAAAAACATTAACGCCTCCCTCCACACAAGTCTGTGGCTAGCTAGGCTACGTAGGCCTACGTAGGGCAGTCTTCAAAGGTAGCATGGATAGGTAAGCTTTCTGGTGGTTCCTGTGAGCTCATGAAGGTCTGTATGTCTTCCCCCTTTCTAGGTGTTCTAACCAAATCTATGGCGGTAACCTGGCGTTCCTCCACCCGAACAGGAAGTGGGTGTACTCCCCTACCACAGGCCTGTCTCCGCAGTCCGTGCACAAGTCCATGGTCAACTCCACCTGCCTGGATCAGCTGTGAGTTTTTTCTCTCTTCCCAGCAGTTCATAATACTTACTAGTATCATCTTTTTGATTGACAATAAACTACTCAGCTTACTATTAAAATAAAGCTATGTAGCGTCAGTAGCTGAAGAAAGATGGTGGATGTCGTCTGAAAGCCTATACGCTTTTACCTGAAGTCCGACGGTGTGTACCTGTTTAAATCCTCCCTGTTACTAAGGTATTGCGACTTTTGTGTTTTAAGTCTTTCACTAGCTTTTTGATACCATTAACTTGGATATTTCTTCTGAAGTTAACATGTCTTTCAGATGGGATAACCCGAACTTTGGGGACTACTACTACGGAACACACTGGTGGTTCTCCTATGACGGTACCCGAGCCTTTCTCGACAATGGCATGACCCTGACTGCCTCAGACGACCAAAACACAGACATGCAAGTGCACGGCTACTTCAACGCCAGCACAGAGTGAGCTGCTTTATCTGTATCCAGCCAAGTTAATATATTCGTAGATGAAGCAAAAGTTTGTAAAGTAGGTTCAAAAGCTGTGTTGCCAAAGACGCTGGTTTTGGTATGCAGAGGAGTTGACCCTTCCTTTGGACACACTGATATACCTACCCTATCCTAGCTGGATGTTTAGCACTGGACATGAAGCCACGGCCTACTGTTTATCATACTTGTCTATGGGAGTAATGTCGACCAACTTAGCTTTCAGTAACTTTCTAGCCAGTTCCTAAACCAAGATACCATGGCCATTTTCAAATACGCATAAAAATGATACAACTGTATATTTCAGTAACAACCCCCACATCTGGATCAGCCAGTCCTCAGGTGACCAGTACTACGTGGCTGGCCTGAAGCCGGACACCTCCAACATCACCCTGTACACCTGGCCGTACCTCATGCCCACACAGACTCTCCCCTTCCCTGTACCTGACGACCCCAAGGCCACCAACCCACAGCCACTGCAGGTCCACTATGCTGATGACGGCAGGCTGTACACTGTGGGGAAGTATGGGCAGGGTGGGGAGATATGGGGCCTTGGATATATTGAGTTCAACTGAGCTACATTTTGTTAACCTGTAGTATACTATGGGTAACCTTTGTCAATGGAACAGACTTAGGCCAAGGAGCTTTAATTCAAAGCTCTTTGCTTAGACAAAGTAAAAACAAAATGTACATTTTTATGGAAGAAAGATCATGAAGGTCGACTCATTCGCTTTTGCATTTTATAGGACTTATTTGTCAAATTTCAAGGGTTCATAGAGCACTGTTGATTAAATATTTTGCAACACACATACAATGAAATTAAGCAATTTTAGGGAATGGTGTTGCTTCTACAACTTAATTTTTTGTTACTGGAAGATTTCAAAATAAAGAACAAAACAGAAGGGCAGTTAACATGCAGACAGTAGGGAATATGGAAACTTTATTATATCCTCACAGAAGTAAAAAGTACAGGGAACTGAAAATTCACAATAGCACCTCACCCTGGTGAATAGCTTATCATGGTCACTGAATGATACAAAAATATCCCCTATGTAAGAGCCATCCCGTAATGTATGAACATGATCACTGTACACCCTATATCATACCTGTGCCAAGCTTAGCTATGCCAAATTACATTCATTCATTTGTCCCGGTCGAAATAAATTTCAGTGAAAATCTGTATTTTTTTCTGTTAGCTCTACAGACTTTAATTAACTGCAATCCAAGTAATCTTCCTCTATAAGTGAGAGCAAAAGGTCTATTGTTTTTTTCTTCTCAAGTCTAGTTGGCCTGGGATCAGTTGTTATAGGTTACAGAGACAAATTTGAAGAAATCTAATTTAGCACATTCTGTTGACAATATTGTATGTATATCATCTTCTATGTAAAAAGTCAGAAATAATTGAAATGAACATATACATACAAGTCTTGATTTTGTGTTTGCGAGAACGTTAAGTAGGTACAGTCCACACAGGGCATTTAAGCCATTACCTCCTAACAAAGTGGTCACTGTTTGCACATTGTATAAGTACCTTCTTAATGAGAGACCAGGTTGGTAACAAAACTGCAGTTGTAGTACCGCACTGGTATGCTAGGGGGTGTACAGGGCCAATTCTTTCTGGTTACCAGTAGTTCTGTTCTCAGATATACTTAATAATAGCAGGACACCACACCATGTAAAATGGACATAAGACTACCTACAATAAATACAGCCTTACTTAAAACTTACTTACGATGGACTACGGTAACTAAAGGAGTGACAAATCCAACTCTTAAACCTATTTTACTACATCTACAGGGACAAGATGCTCAATTCTTGTGGGCAAGTGGGAGGCAGAGGGTTATAATTAGAAGTGGTTGGCAAAGTGTAAAGGAAGTTGAGACTCAAACATCAAAAAAGGATGGTATAAAAGAAAAGGGAACGGTTTGAAGCAAAATTGAGCATAAGGTCCCTCTACACTATGTATAACTTTAAAAACCAAAAGCTCTCTGTATAATGTACACCAATTACAAGTCCTCATCCTTGATTATCTAATTAAAAAAACAACAACTTGAAATTACATCGCTATACCCTGGGTTTTACAACCCACCCAGTAAGAATGTGCCCCATAACTCTGAAATTATTATAATTTCATGATGACCGTAATTTCAAAACATCTACTTTCCATGTGTAGCCTGGCAAGTCAATACCAGTCTCAGCATTTCCTCAAAACGTATAAAAAGCCCCCCAAAAATTTAAAAGTGTGATTGCCAAATTTGCATCAAGTCAAAAAAGATTTGTTAAATAACAAAATACCCTGCCTAAAGAAAATTAACTACCAGAATTAAAAAATATACCATCCCCATTACTTGTGTCTACATCTGCCATTTCATAATACGATTATGCAATTTCATACAGACACACAAAAGAATAATAAAAAAAACAACCCAAAAATCTGATTTAAAGTTTGATACAACTTAAAAACTTGCATTTGTTATCTCATGGGTCTTGGTGGGAACTTGAATTGCAAGATTAGCATTTACTTCTTCTATATTATGTTTCGGAAGACAACGGTTTATGCAACATGGTTCACCGGAAAACTTTCTTGCTTAGGACAAGATGAGGATGTTATGATATTCATGGCTTATAAAGGAGTCCGTGGTCCGTACCTCACAAACACTGTTTGTGTCTCTAAAATAGCAATATACAGTTGGCTGGAGCCTACACTTCAACAGAGAAAGCAAGGTCATTTTTTCAAAGTGAATGTACAGCTTAGTTCATTGTTGAGCGAAAAGGTTGTCTCATACAATGTTTTATTTCACTACTACCTTTCGCCTAAGGCTACACATGAGACAACTGACAAGAGAAATGTGTTCTGCATTTGTAGAGAGATGCCTCATCCTTAATCTCAAAAGCTCATCAAATAAATACATCCGGATGTTTGTAATCGTGCGAAGGAGACGTATAGCGGGAGCGTCCTCATGTAGTGCAGGTGCTGTAGCCGGTTGCCTTCCGGGTGATTTCTGTAAGAATGGCCTCCATTCGCTGCTGCAGTTGGGTTAAGTCAGTTGTCTTCGTGGTCAGCGTGTCTGTTTGACTGGTGAAGGTCGCCCTCAAATCTACACCAATCAGAGAAGAGATAAAAAAAGGTCAACCTCAAGTCTACACCAATCAGAGGAGACAAAAAGGTCAACCTCACGTCTACACCAATCAGAGGAGATAAAAAAAGGTCAACCTCAAGTCTACACCAATCAGAGGAGATAAAAAGGTCAACCTCAATTCTACACCAATCACAGGAGAGAAAAAGGGTCAACCGCAAGTCTTCACCAATCAGAGAGGAGATTAAAGAAATGGTCAACCTCAAGTAAGGTCAGCACAATTCAGCGGTCCATAATTTGTTATGTATATACTGCTGCTATGCTAACCACTGTCTTGAATAAAGAAATGACAAGGCAGTGATAAAACATTGTCATACTTTGCAGTTCTGTGAGTTGTCTCTGGACCTCGCTAGCCAGGGCAGCGGCGTCTTCTCTCAGCTTGGTGGCCTGGCCAGACGTGTCTCCCGGGGCTGACTGATCGTTCACCTTCCTCTGAGCTTCCTCATACTTGGCTTTTAGGTCATCAAGTTGCTGTACGAACAAGGAACAAAAGCAGACTTGAACACACCTCTCAAGTGTCACTGATGAAAAGTAGTAGATGCTACCCTGAAATGTATGACCTGACCGTTTCCAAAATCATATCCAGTTGCTTGAGTAACTGGATATGATATTGAACAAAGATTTGGGGATATGATTTGTTTTTTAGGTAAGACTTGAACATACATTTATAAGTTAACACTTTTCTGAATACGCATAACGAGATGCACAAGAAAACAGTTACTCAAGCAGCTGGATAGATTTTGAGAACTGTCAGACGTTTCAAGTAGCATCTACAGTACCTAATTTCTGTCAGCACCTAACAGAATCTGTAGTTGTAACTTGTTTGAGTAACTGTTTTTTTGTGTGTGCCAGCCTTATTGCTGCCTAGCTACCACATGTCATTGCCCTGTTGCATTTTCAATCAAGTGAAGTAAAGAATGTTTACTTACGTTACGGGCAGCAGTGGCCTTCTTCATGGCAGCGTCGGCAATGTCATTGGCATCTTTGGTGTTCTCTTGGTTCTTGGTGTACTTGGGGCCTATTTCATTGGTCAGTTCGTTGTTCATGTCGGCAATCTTCTGCATAGCATCGTTGATTTTGTTGACGGCCAAGCTGGTCTCTGACTCGATCTGTTAGAAGGTGCAAAAAAGTTTGTTTCATTATTTCGGGGTACAAAAGCATCATTTTGGTTGGCTAAACTATGGGTTTGTGTGTCCAGACAGAGTAGGTTGACAGAACGTGGGTGGGGTAAAGAAGATTGACAGGCAGAATGACAGATCATAAGTACAGACACAGAAAATGGCTCTAGCTGGGAGCCAGCAGAAAGCCAGGAAGCTGAGGCTTGCATGAGGGACACTCCAATACTTCAACCAAGTCTGAATCACAATTAATGTCACACCAAATAGTAGTTTTTCAGAATCACCTGTATCAAACACCTAAACTGTTTGCTCCTTTAGGCCACACCAATTTAATTTGTTGGTTCTCTGATTTTTTCAGAAAAAATATGAAGCGACAGGGCGAAAAAAAATAAAAATAAAAACAGGTCTAGGCATCCTATTATAGGCTTAAATGCTACAAAATGAGCCATGAAGTCAACACAAAAGGCTGGGTTAAAATTTAAAAATTGAATTTTGAACTTTTAATCATACCACTGCAGTGATAGATGGGAAAACTGTAACAACTAGGAAGAAAAGGACTTTCCTCAACTGTTGGGGGGCAAAAAATTAGCATTTTTCAGTTGATTCAGGACCAGAATCAATTTTTTTTTTTTTTTTGCAAATCAGGAAAAAACGAAGAGGCGAATCCGAGAACCAACAAATTAAATTGGTGTGGCCTTATTGGTAAAAAAACAAATAGCTAGCGATACTTCACAGTGCACCAATTTAACTCCAGATTTGAAAGCACATGTACAAATAGTCAGTCAGATGAGCTGTTGAGATTTTCATCATTACTACAATACATTTATTTCATTTGTCTTCAAGATTGTGTGTTACATTTTGTGTATCCTTTTCCGGTAAGATACTATGACACGAGTCTTGGTAAAAATCTACGACAGGATATAAAAAAGCAACACAGAAATGGAGCCAACAGTGTACTGTTGCTGAGAGAACTATTGGATGGTGTAATGTCAACCCACCCCTGTGAGTTTGCCTTCTGCGTCGTTGATGTCTCCCTGGGCGTCACGGATGGCCTGTTCCGCGTCGCGCTGAGCAACTTCAGCCGCGTCCAACGCCTGTCGCACCTCCTCAGCAGTGGTCTTCACCTTGTCAGCATCCTCCCTGAAAGTCGGGTGATAACATTGATAAAATATCAAGTTTTGGGCATCTCTATCTTAAAATGTCTTGTCAATTTGACACATTTTGGCAGGAGCAGGTTAAAAATTCCCCCCGCTTGAAAGTTCATCTGTTTTGGTAGAAGTGATTCTGAAACAGGTTTGAACTGTAATTTCCAACACGACAATTCAAAATTAAAACTTTGCAGGAAGTTTCAAGAAGCCATTACATCAGGGCATTAAAACCATCCACCAACAGAGACAGGGAGCACCACAAACTTTCTGCTATTTTTATAATCCACTGCTCAACAAGTCACATGTTCTATTGTGTATAACGTGACATGACAGAGGCTCCTGCCTTAACAAAGACCGGAGATGAAGTTAAAAAATTTTGTCAAGTGCAATTTTTGGAATGGGAAATTACAGTTCAAACCCAGCTGTTTAACCTGTTTGAGAAGAACAGACATTTGCGATCTAAGATGTGCTACAAGACCAGCGTGTCCTTACTTGGCCTTCATGGCTGCAGACAGCAGGTCCTGTGCTGTCTTCAGGTCGTTCTCTGTGGCCTCCAGAATGGCATCCACACCGGACAGGGTCTTCACCTTCTCATCAATGTTCTTTGCCAGGTCCAGGATCGCCTGTGGGGTGTACTGGATTTTCTGTGTAGCGGGAGAGAGAGGGTTTATTGCATTAATATAATTATCATTAGATGGCAAATGTTAGTAAGACGTTTTTTTCTTCAAAGTATTTAGAAATGATTGCAGCTTACTTCAATGGTTGACCCAGGATGAACTACGTATACTAGCAAACAATCAAGAGGGACCTGCAAACAGTAAATCTAAACTGGAAGGATGTACAGAGACTGGCCATTGACTGAACTTGCTGGAATGCTCTGTCTGTTTTGTGTGCCGATAGACAGGAAGAAAGTCCCTAAGTCTAAGTAACTTCCGTAAATGAATCGACAATACGACACGTGACTGACCTTGTCAAGAACCTCCTGGGCGACCCTGAGGACGCTGTCGGGGTCGGCGTGTTCTCCCCGCAGGAACTCACTGATCTGCTCCAGAAGCGCGTTCACCTTGTCGTCCAGACCTGCACGGGAACACGTACAATTAACACAACACAAGGGCAGGATTCTGACAACAATATACAGTGTTCGAAATACCCATCTGCATTCTGCATTTTGCAAAGGGATTTTCAAGATTGTGGAAAAAAAAAATCACACAATCTGCAGTTTTGCATTATTAGGTTGAGTAGGTTGTACATGTAGTATGGAGGATTGTGTATTTGCAGAAAATGTTTCCAAATTGCAGAACAAAATTTTGACCCATCTGCAATATTGCAGAACACTGAAAAAAAGTATTTCTACCACCGATGTACAATTCTTTCAGGACCCGCAAAACTAACCAATGTGTTAGGTCGCACTACTCGGAGAGAGTTGACGTATCCATTACTCAGACCTGCCCAAAAATTTTAGGCAACCAGATGTACAGTTGCTACCGAAACATTGGCAGGTTTTGGATGATAATGTACAACATTTTCAAGACAAGACCTGCAACCGTGTGAGATGCGACGCCTTGAAGCCCGTGTCTGGCAGCAGGAGAAGCCGGAGAGGCCACAGTCAACAGCTCCAGGACATAACTTGCCGCACGAACTACAAACACTATTCCTTTCTTCCTCGCACTATCCGCGATTGGAACGCCCTGCCCACAGACACTGTCCAATCCCCGTCCCTGGCCACCTTTGTCTCGAGGGTGTCCAGTCCGGCCTAGACTCAGTCACGCTGGTGACCTTCGACCCGAGACATGTCAATTATTGCCGGTATCGGCAGTTGGACATTAACGGAAGAAGAAGAAGAAGAACCGAACTTAGTTGCTTCATACCAAAAAAGAAGCCAATGTGTTGGGCCACAAACTGTCCTTCTGACCTGCCCAAACCTAGCAGGCGATCATACCTTTGAACATGTCTCGGACTTCCTTAGCACGGTCAAGCGCGTTCTGGGCGGAGGTTTTGGCATCATCAGCATCAGTCTTAGCACGACGCACCTGAAGGATAGGAAAAAGCAGCATAAATACAAATTGTCGACTGATTAAACCTCTTATGTAAAACGAGTCTCTTTATTCAGTGTTGTTCAACAGTTTCAACATATCCAGTATACCTCCTCCAGCAGGCGTCTGGCGTTCTCCTCCGCCTTCTGCAGCTCAGCGTCAGCCTTCTCGGCACGGTCCTTGGCCGTGTTGGCCACCTCCCAGGGCTCCCGACGCAGCCCAGCCCGCCGCACTTCAGGGTCTGGGGGGTGCCCGAGTAGCAGCCGGCGCGGCCGCACTTGGCTTGCTCGCAGGGCGTGGACTCGTCAATGGGATCACCGCAAACCTGGGTCATAAAGGACAGGAAGAATTAAAAAATTTGTACAATCCTGACGGTCCAGGACAATTGTAGTTGTCTCACTTTGAGACGTGGTTGGAACATAGGATATGGCAATGATTAGTTTCGTCGTTATGAAGTTAGACATCAGGTAATAAAATATCAATGTAACAGTTTTTGAAAATGGTCAGACAATTCAGGTAGCATCCAGTCACTGAAGTCCAGTCAATGAAAGGTAGTGGATGCTCCCTGAAATGTCTGAACATTTTCAAAATTTGTCTGAGCATTTTCAAAATTTGTCTGAGCATTTTCAAAATTTATCCAGCTGTTTAGGTAGCTATTACTTTGGTAAGATGATCAGCTTTTGGGCCAGACAAGTAAAATATACGCTTCTGTATCCTGAGACTCTGTATCTTAAAATACATTCTGATTTGGATGGACGTGGGATAATTTTGAGTGGCGATACGAAAGTAACGGAGCAGTATCAGCAAACACAGCAGCTGCTTCCGTACCTTCTCGTTAACCTCCCTCAAACTGAGCATGTCAGCCTGGTTTTCCAGCGCAGCAATCTTGTTGTTCAGCTCGGTGTCGGTGTTACCAAAGTTTCCGGAGTTGGCGGCCATGAGCTTCTCCGCCTCCTTGCGTGTCGTCTCTGATTCCCCCAGGGTGGGCTGTGTGCCGTCAGCCTTGGCCTGGGCATCCTGGGATTTCTTCTGGGCGTCTTTGATGCTCTTGAGAGCCTCTGACATGTACAAAGGCATTTTTAAGTGAATTGTCCTGGCCAAATCATCGAAGAAATGACTTAAACGCTTTTTGCAAAAATCACGAAAAGAAATCAAACCTAAAAGCACCCAAACTGGTGCTTTGTAAGGGCTCCTTAAGGACACGTAAAGGCAAAAATCCCACTTACCAACAGTGTTTGTGTTCTTAACCCTGTCTACGTCCTTCGAAAAGTCGTCAACATCTTTGTTCAGGTTGTTCAACTGACCCTCGAGGGCGTCAAGGTCATCATTGGCTCCCCTGATATCCTGAGAGGCTTTTCCCAAGGTCGTTCTCGATGCCATCAAGAGACTGGTCCTGGTTGTCAAGTTGGTCCCTAGAATTGTGAGGGAAGACAAAATTGTGATGAAAATGATCATCATTCAACATAGCAGCTTCAATGTTCTAGCCATTTAGTTTAGAAGTCGGCGTATATTAAATATTCTCTTTTCTGTTACTAACTTTGACATCATCACCAGTGTCCTCTGTAATTCACGATAAGGGAGGCATTTGTGCTCAACTTCCATAGACAGGTCTGCTTTTAACAATAGGGCTGATGAGCATATAGTTTACAGCAAGGAAATATGCACAAAAAAGAAGAGCACAAAATGGTAGCAGCTTGGACTTATGTCTTTTTTAAAACAATGATCAAGCATTGTGGGTTAAGCGAACCCCAAGTGTTACAACTAAGGTACAAGAATCCATCCATGATTAGAGGCTCTGAATTAGAAGATGACCAACGTGAAACCAAAACCTACTTGAGCCCATCCAGTTCAGCCTCCAGCTCCTGCACTCCGGCTCCGCTGGGAAGACCACCGCCAAGCAGGTTTCTTGCCGCGTTGAGGTCATCCTCGATGCCCTGGAACCTGTCGTCGTACGCACCCGGAACACCTGAAGACTCGATGTTCTTTGCACGGTCAAGTTCGTGTCTGGTCTCATCTACAATGGGAGTGAAAAACAAACAAACAAGTTGAGTCATTAAAGATGTCAAGATGCACAAGAAAACAGCTACTCAAGCAACTGGAAACTGTATATTTACTGATTGTGAGGTGTCCAGAGTGTAGAAAATAATGATCTTACTTTCCAAGCCCTTGATGATGTTATCCCAGTTGTCGAAGCACTCTCCACAGGGCACGCACTGCGGGAGGTTCCCCCTGGTTCCGCGGGCACACTGGTCGCACTTCATGCCGGTCACGCCCGGGCGGCAACGACACTGGCCGGTGTTCCTGTCACATTGCAGCGTCTCCGATCCCAGAGGGTCGCAGTTACACTCTGCAAACATACATGTCACCTTGTCAACGGATGTCATACAAGGAATGGCAACTACAATCGTAAAATCGTAGAACATTTCATACAAGGAATGGCAACTACAATCGTTCAGTGACCATCTGTCTAAGCTTTGTTGTAACACAACACAAGACAAGACAACATGAACTTCCAGTTGATCTTGTTGACTTTCATCTGAGATCAACTGAAAATTCAAGGTGAGTCTGTTGTAACAAAGCTTAAATTTTACAATACTATGAATTCTACTAACACAGATGAGCTTTCATTCAGACAGCTACTATGTATTTGAATACAGGAGGCAGATGTCAAACACCTATCAGTGGAAACCCTGTTAGCTCCTGACATAGTATGTATGTGTATGTACTTGTTCTACGTGCAGAACTGGTGAGCGATGATTTGGAGCAGTTTACCAATTATGCATTTGAAATTTCAAGGAGGCGGGTACAAGCAGTACTACTGTCTGTCAGGGGAACTCACCGGAGCACTGGGAGCGCGGATCTCCCCAGTAGTTGGTCTCGCAGTCGGTACAGGTACGGCCTCCGAACCCAGGCTTGCAGCGACACTGCCCATCAAACTGTGGAGAGAAGGACGATTGATTGGTCACTGCTTCACAACTCAAATCATCTTTCCCATGGCTGGAGGTGTACTTATAAGTTATGCTTGGATGACTATGAGGTTAAAATGACAGACTGTACATTCTCAGTGAAGCCAAACTTCTCTATGTTTCTCATGTTTCTCTACTCATGTTTTCCAAAAGTAAAGTGTTGTCACATAATATCTACATATTGTCAGGCACAGTAATAAAGAACAAGTTTCCCTGAGGAATGTTGCCATGCATCTAATGAAGGTTGACCAGATCGTCCAAAAATTTATGGTGAGTTTTCTTTTTGTGTTGGAACAAAGTTTGAACTCTATAACTGTTACAATGGATTCTACTAATACAGATGAACTTTCATTCCAATATTCACAAACCTCATTGCACTGTGTGGAGAGTGAGTTGACAGGGTCACAGCTGCAGGCCTCGCAGCCTCGCCCGCTGGCGATCTTCCAGTAGTCTGGGGCGCAGCGGTCGCACTGCTGACCCACCACGTTGGGCAGGCACGGGCAGTTCCCGCTGACACGGTCGCACTCGCACAGCCCTCCGTCCTGACAGCGGGCGCGCGTGCGGTCCGTTCCCAGCATGTTACACACACAGCCTACAGACGACAGAAACAAAGTCAGCCTGCTGTCCTATCATTTAAGCCTTCTCCTAACCGGAGCACGGAATAGGAGAGGGCTACTGGGAAACGTCCACAACGAACAAAACAACAACAAAAACATTCATACAGAGGAGAACAAATCTTGTGAGCTACCATATATCATAACCCTTTGGCTCTCCCCCCTGTGAACTGCAAAGTTTTAGAAAAACTGTACCTTTCACAAGGGAAGGAGCCCCCGTACTCTGGAGAATCATGCCACCACAGTCATGTATTGCATGCAACAGCCACTACACCTAGACTGAACCCATGCAGAGAGGCGTCACACCAAGCTGCAGTACCGGTACCTCTTGGGGCAGGGGGCGCCGGTATATAACAACCACCACAACCACACCCCTGCTGGCAGCGGCAGCCCGCCTGACACGGGCGACGCGCCCGCGGCGGCTGCTGAGCCTGCGGGCGTACGACGTCCACAAGCCTTTGTGGCACTCGCCGTGCTAGAGGGCACACACAGGACACAAAGCACATGCCAGCAACCAACCGATGGAGCCCTGGGCCAGTCAGCTCTGTCGCAACGTTACAGTTTAACTGCTGGGGAAGTTCTACAGACTGGGAGTTTTGTTTGGACAGATTTGGTGATGACAAGTTTTGACTAGAAAGTGATGTTCCAATAGTTAAGTGATGTAAGCTACAAAACAAGAGGCAAAAACAAACTGTCCCATGCAGTTAAACATGTGCTCGACATACATGTACAAGTAAGTAATGGCAAGGCTTATTTACAAAGTTTGTTTCGGTTTCATCAGCATTACTATTGATATGAAAACATTTTTCCTTCACTGCAAAAAAAAGGAAAGTTATGAGCATGCACTGTTCTCGTCAAGGCTCCATCCTGGTTGGTTTCCAATAACACAAAACAAATACCGTAACAGAAAAGACATTCACATTCAACAACATTCACAGCAGAAAAGCTTCCATCACACCACAGTTTGGCCGCTGTTAAAGCACAGCCTGTAGTGACCTGTGTACCCATCATGCTATAATGTATGTCACCACCATCACATAGATATCATTACTAACACACCATTGTCTTCAACAACTTGGGAGTTGTTAGATTATAATAGGACAACATGCCACCCTTATGAATGTCCACTGTGACAGTGTCATCACAGCCACCATGTGTACAATCCCTGGCAAGCATGGATACTTGGTCGTGGCGTCACGTGTGCAAATGCAGCTCTCAAACGTACATCGACATCCTGTCCCACGGCAGGACAACATGTCCACCACAGAGGCAGGAAAGCTTGTCTTACGCAATACCAAGACATGAAATTGTCGACTTGTGATGTCGCTTACAATAAAATCACAAATGAATGAATGAACGAACAAATGAATGAATGAATGGATGGATGAATGAATGAAAATGAATCAATAGATGGGATGATTGAGCATATGATGCAGTCAAGCAGAAAAAAGCAAAGCAGTAGGGAAGTCTGCAAGGAATTTGTTGGATAAACTTTTTTTCTTGGATAAACAGTTAGCTTCTATTGGGTCTTAGGGTTGGGACTGCAAAGCATTCAACTGGTTTGGTGGGGAGTTACTCAAGCTGACTAGGGATAACTTTTTATTTGCATTTTGCTGGTTGCAAATGATGGGAGCATTTTGCTGATTAATTGCGTGACAGTGCCACCCATACAGCAGCATGAGAACCTGCTTTCCAGCACTTTTGACACCATTTTCCTGCTGACACGACAACAAGTTACAAGTGGTTCTGGCCACAGAAACTTCCTTTCATGGAGAACACTGTCTGGTAAATCTTGTGTAAAACTAAAAGTGTGATGAATGAAACTGGCTTTTGACAAAAAATGTGCTGGTTTTCGGTTTTGTTGTTTGATAGTTTATGAAGGTTTCAGGGCATCCTCTCTTTGCGCAACTTGTTGCCAAGAACAAGTCTTGCTGAGATCACTGCGCACTGGTTAAATTTGTTTGTTTGAACCTTTATTTATTCATGAGAAGCTATTGAACTTCTTATGAATAAGCTTAGAAATAAACTAAAAAGTGTCATTTCCTTTTTCTTCGAAAGATGCCCAAACTACATGTTGTCCATGAAATCATGCTTGAGTGGCCATACCAGTGTGAAACTTGTCGTCATGTCCTGTCTCGCTTCAGACAGAAAATTAACTGCCACCCACAAAGCTTAGCCCCTAAACACTTGGCACATCCAGGGAGGGAAATTAACAGGGAAGACAAGCATTGCAAAGGGTTTGCAAGGGTGGATTTTACTCCCATATGGGAGATTGGGGGGCAAAAATGAGTTGTGTGTAAAAAATGGTCAAAATCAAAATTACTATCATCACTCAGTAAAATAAAATTTGAAAAGAAAAAAAAAGAATGAAGTTCATCAAAAAGCATTTTTGACCATCTGTGCTTGTTGACAATTTCGATCCCTGGAAGCATTTGAGAGTAACCAAGATTAGTGAACCAGCTGCCAACTAAATGTATGTTTAGTACCCTGTCACCAAGACTGAAACATTGTCTGATGCTGAGCAATGCAGAAGGATACCTGTCTGCAGCAGAAATGAACCAGTCATGACATGTGGAGAATGATCTGTAGGAGAGGTTCGTAGTGCAGTTTTTCTCATGCAGTGCACCTTCAGTTCAAGAGGCAAACCACCCACAAGCAAACCACGTCCAGTTGTGTAGATGAGGAATAGCATGTTCCGTCCGCATGTTATGGGAACGTTAAGAGCAAGCCCTGTTACGTCAGAACCTTTGGTCCGAGCAGCAGTTGGACAATGCTCCATGCTGTTGGGTTATATATTATATATATTTATAGGAGGCTTAGCCGGGGAGCCCTTTGAAGCATTTCCTCCCTTTCATAACCACCGCCTCCGCCTTGACCGGTACAGCACTTACTAGGTTGCTGTCTCGTGGTGGGGCCTTCGGGCCTGGGGGGTACTTGTGGCCTGGACAGGGGGGCTCGTGGCCTGGAGAGGGGGACCCGAGGCCTGGCGAACGGGTAACCGAGCGCCCCTCTCGTCAGCTGGTTGTACTGACCGTACAAATCTGTGGTTTCCCTGCGCTTTCGGAGCTGTTTGTTTAGGCCTGCCTCCTCATAGCTGAGGGAATTTTTCAAGACCTGGAAACTGACAGCTGTAGAGTGGAGAACACATGAAGAAGTGCAAGGGAAGCAGAGTACTACGAGTAGTACTACTACAGCCACAGTCAGAGTTGCTAACACTACACGTTTTCTGGTACAACTGATGCACTAGTGCAAATGACTGTATTACAAGCACGTCTACATCATGTGTGCTTACTAAGTTTGGTGTGAAGAAAAGGCATGCATGCTGTGGGGTTGAAGAGCCACACCACGGGATGGTTGGACAGTTAGGGCAGTCCAGCACAGAAGCAAACAGCAAAGAGTTTTTTTAGAAGGAAGATGTAACTAACCAGGGAGCACCACATGAAATTGGCCCCAAACACCTCGGGAATCGTGATTTCAGACCAGGACAAACCTTTCTTCACCAGTGATGATAGAAAAATAGAACAGAACCAAATGGAGGGTTGTGTCAGTAGTAGGGGATGGTATGAGGGAAAAGAGTGGGTACAGTTATTTTTTGGCCATTCTCACCATTACAGCAAAACCTTTGGGTACAGCAGGAGGGTAGAAAATACACTTTAGTACCCGGAACGTCTTTTTCAACAACCGAAGGGAAGTTGGGGTGTTGGGGAGCTTTGGTAGGTTGGGAGGGGGGTTGACTTCAGGGAGAAGGGGGATAAGCTTTCCCTCCCTTCACACCACATCATTTACATGTACATACTGGAACGAACTCTGGAAAAAAAACTAGCTGTTATGCTTAAGCAGACTGCATTAACTCGTTATTCTTACACACAGCCATTTTGCGTGGTTTAGACACAAACCAAAACTGACATCTGTGACCACGTAACAGGAGGCCTGAATGCCAGTGGGACTTACGCTTGCAGTCCTGGTTTGTGGCGGTTCCGTAGTAGCCCGCCTGGCAGCGGTCACAGCGAGGTCCCTCCGTGTTGTACAGACACTTGCGGCACTCTCCGGTGCGGCTGTCACACGCGGTGGAGTCCGTCATGTCGATGTTGTTGTTACACTCGCACCTGCGGCAGCTGCCGCCAGGTACCTCCGGGTTGCCATAGAAACCAGGTGCGCAGCTGTCACATCTAGGTCCTGAGGTAAACATGAACAACAACAAAAAAAATTTCAGCTGCAGTTCAAAACAGATGATTTTTCTAAGTCATAGTACATGTATAACATTATAATTATTAACATTTGAGGTGTGGGCCAAGGATGATACTACAAGTAAGTAATTGGGAAGTTATTCAAAATTTGGTAACACGTCAAAATTCCTGATGTGACAATTTTTAAAGATGCTCCAAACACATCTTTCTTTTACACCAAGACCTCACCCAACAAAAGAAAACAGCAGAGCACAAAGTCTGTAGGAAACTTTGTAGACAAGGTCTACACATTTTTGCATATTCTTGTTGTTTAAAAAAAAATAGTAGAGTATGTGGAGTCTGTGGAGAAGCGGTGGATTGCTCATTCCTTGACAAAGACTGGAGTTGTACAGTCAAAAATTTGGGTTAGTCCAATTTCTTGTGTTGGATGTTTCAGTTCAAACTTGTTTGATAATAGCATATGATGAAGTCTGACCGGTGTATCCCTCGTTACAGTTACAGATGACGGCCTGGCTGCGCGGGTCCTGGTAGCACCGGTCAGCAAACTGCCGGCCACTGCTGATGCCGCCGGGGCACATGCACTCCCGGCACGGCTGAGAACCGCCCGGCTGCAGCCGCGGGTCGCCATAGTAACCATCCTTACAGCTGGAGAGGGAAACAACACATTCTAAATCATCATCATGTTCACTGCATTTTAGTGTTTTAAATCATCATCATCATATTCACTGCATTTTGGTGTTTTATTGTTTGTAGTTGTCCTTTTAGGCTTCATTTGTACACATTTCATTTTAACAAAATTACTAGCACAATAGTTTTGTTGTATACTTATACAATTTAGCTGGAAAGGAAATCAGCACAGCATTTTAAAATTTTTTGCAATTGGAACAGGTCCTTTTAGGCTTCATTTGTACGATGCATTCGTTGCCCCCTCAGAAATCAGCTTTTGCAAGCTGAAGATGCAAGCCAGTCAACCGTCTTTAGACGAAATAAATAGATAGATAAATCTGTACGCTTACGTCTGACAGAACTGGCCGGCCGTGTTGTCCCGACAGTCGATACAGGAGCCGGAGACGGAGTCGCAGCGGTCGGCGTGCCCGTTACAGTTGCAGCGCTGGCAGTTGGGGAAGTTCCAGAAGTTGTCCTGGCAGCGGTTACAGCGGCGGCCGTATGCGCCGGGGTTGCACAGGCACTGCCCGTTGCTGGGGTTACAGAACAGGTCACGGGAGCCGCTGGCGTCACAGTCACAAGCTGAGGGTGGGAAGATATGTGTCATTTCAAGTCTTTCATTCAGGAGCAGCAATTCTGACAACAAACTGCCAATGCGTGAAGTGTGGACAACTGTGTGTGTCAAGTTACTGACTCAGAAGCCAAAAAATCTGGACCAGGGAAAGGAGGTTGTCAGATGACCAGCTTGAAGAGGTGGTCGCTTGGGCAGGTTTGACTACATTCTACTTTGACAAAAAAAATCAACACGAGTAGATGTTTTAGTGCTCCACTTCATTCACAAGGGCTAACAAACTGAAAAGTCATGTGTAAATTATCCAGCTCACAAGAAGGTGTCCAAGACACATCCTCACCTCTACATCCCTGTGGGCCAAGGCCAAAGGTCGCAGGGCAGCACATGTCGCAGCGCCGACCAATCACGTTGTTCCTGCAGGGACACTGACCTCCCTCGGGGTCACAGACCGTGCTCTCAGCGCCGTTGATGTCACAGTTACACGCTGGTGGGGTAGAGAATAACGTCGTCAACACCACGACAAGTTTCTCAGACATGAGCCAAACTCCAGTTATTCATAAAGAGTCTGTCATCAAAAGTTTGCATTGCAAAGAGTTCAAGCACAGGATAGAAAAGGATTGTGGAAAATTGTGCATCATGATAGTGGAAGGCATCAAAACTCCAATATCTTGGAGCGTTTGACACCAATGAACTACGATAGTGCAAAAGTTCTGATTCCATGAGGGTTTTTAGGTCGCATGTACTTGTAGAGACCTTTTGAGACAGACTTTTCAACTGGGAAGTTGACTATGTCTCTGGGAATTGGCAAATCAGAAAAACAGCCCTACAGGTACGTGAAATCCAAGGAAAAAGGAAGTGGCAGATTGTACTACAAATCAAAAAAGGGAAAATGCAAAAAGAAAAAGTGAAACATAGGAAAGGCCACATAAATCAGAAAGATGGGACATTTTGTTTTAGTCAATCTTTCAATGTAGAAGAATTGGAACAACTTATAAAGCTTTTCAAGAGACTCAAGTGTCAATTCCCTTTACGAATCAACATCAGGATCCATACAGCTTCCTGAGTTGACTTCTCATGATGATGATAAAGAACATCTACAGATTGTTATCTCAAAATAAGAATATTTTGGGTCAACTTGAATTTCAAATTCAGCATAATTTACATCCAAATGCACTTTCAAGTCTTAGTTTACAGAGAAAACATTTCTTTTCTGATTTATGAGGCCTGTGAAATTGAGGGATTGCCTAATAATACTTACGGGTTCCTTCAATGAGCATGAAGGTAATTGTTGAAAACACAAATCACACACACAGAAAAAAAGAGATCATTCAATTAACAAGACATCCAACTGCACAATGCCAAAAAACTCATGCACACGGTTCTAGCATACTATGAAAAAAAAATTACTCCTGACAAATCTAAACATGTCTATATTCTATTAACAGAAATCCTGATCTTAAAAAGCACAGTTGAACATTTATTTTCTTCATACACTGGTCCATACAACATCACTATTTACTTCATGCTGCATAGCAGAACATCAATGTTTTCTCAGGCACTGACTACTACTTTTGGCATGCTGTTCGCAATGAAGCAAAAACCATGTCTAGTATACCTTCAAAATCCATCCAATGCAATTCCTTGGTTAATGACATCATTGACTTGGACTGACAATTACTGCATAGTTTGTAAGTGACAACGGTATTTAGAGTGTATGAAGCAAGTTTGAACTGTAATTTCCAACACAGGAAATTAGACTTACCCATATTTTTGACTGTATAACTTGAGTCTTTGTCAAGGATTCAGCAATCCACCACTTGTGTGGCATCATGTTTCGTAGATGACACACATGACTAGGTTGACAGTGAATCAGGGGCTGCAAAAACTTTATGTTGCCCACACAGAAGTGGTAGATTGCTCATTCCTTGACAAAGACTACAGTTGTATAGTCAAAATAATTTGGGTTCGTCCATTTGCTTGTGTTGGAAGCTACAGTTCAAACTTACTTCATAATGACTTCTATCAACACTGGGGAATTTTCAAGATACAGTATTCAGAGTGACTTACGCATGCCTCCATTGTGCATGATGGCGGAGATGCTCCGCACCATGCTCTTGCAGATGGGTGGGATCTGGGGCTTCAGCACAGGCAGGTAGTTCTCCTGGCAGCGATAGCGCTCGAACTCGTCCCGACGTGACTGTCCCTCCTGGCCTTGGAAGATGGGCACGCTGGTGTACCTCGGTACGAGCACAAGCTGGAGGGACAGAGGGAGGTCAGTCATGAAATACAGTAATAGCATGATCCATGGTTGATAGTTCTATCAATACCAACACCTTTTAAAATTATTCACGTTCAAGCTAACATTGGAAAAAATGTATAAGGTTACACAAGGAGGCTTCGGCCATTGATGTCCGTAACCTTCCTTCTAGAGATTCAAGTGAAAATTGGCCCCTGCAGTTCCAATAAAGCTGCTAGGGGCCTGATGCAAAGTCTATTTTTCTAATCAAACCCCTTATTCAGTCAACCAAACACTGCTAAAACTGTACCCTTAGTAGTCATGAACACAACAAGACTCCATGATAGGAAGCGCCTTACCGAGTCGAAGAGAATGGTTGCCTGTGGGTTGGTGCGGCCGCTCTGGTAGGAGCGGAACTCCACCTTGATGGTGTACTCCTTCATCTCCTCCAGACAGAAGGGCGTAGCCATCACACGATACCTGCAACAACAACCGCATGTGTTACATGATATGTCAATCTCTTCAGCTTTAGGAAGAGACTCAGATTTGAGTGTACTTTGATGATATTCTTCTCTATGGCATGTTGTACAACCCAAAACTTTTTGCTGTGCACTAAATTTCGAGGTTAGGGGCAAGGATGAACCTATCCCTCAAAATGAGTACCAAGCATGGCACCCAAACATGAGAACTGGTGTAGGTTTTGGCCCAAAAAAAGCAGATAATATACAAGCCATCAGGTACCTGCTTCCCGGAGGCAGGGAGGTGCTGAGGATGTCGTCCTGAGGGATGGTGTTGCCACAGATGCTGCTGGTCTCGATGACGCCGGGTCGTGTGAGCGTGATGCCGACCTCGTCCCAGGAGTCTGGCAGCTGCGGCTCGTAGCGGATCACCACGTCGTACTCCATGGACATGGGGATGTTGTTGATGGTGAACTCCAGGCTGCTGCCCTCCCGCATGGAGCGGAACCCGGGACCGGTCCAGGTCCGTGTGGCGCCGGGCACGCACTGACGCATGTCAATCATAGCCTCCTGTACATCAACAAGGGGATGGAAAAACATTAGTAACGGTAGCATATATGAATTGGGTGAGAGATTTGGTCAAAAGTTCCGGTGAGTCAATTCTCTTGAGTTGACGCACAGATTATTTGTCATGAAGTGAGAAATTATATTTTCGGATCTGCGCCTACGAATAATGTGACCAACTCACTCCATTGGGCAGAGCATCCTCCGCCTCGTACTTGTAGTTGTCGAGGTTGATGGCGTAGAATCCTGGCTGGACCTCGTCACAGCGACGGCCGGTCATGTGGGGGCGGCACTTGCACTGCCCATCCAGCTGGTTACACTGGCTGTCGATCGCACCGCCCGGATCACAGTCGCACGGGCGGCAACCTTCCTCGATGTCACTCAGGCCGAAGAACCCAGGCTGTGGTGGTGGTGGATATATAATTACTAGTATACATTTAGGATGATGTCTGATACAGTTGTTATATAACCATTAAACTTAATTCATATAACCAATATTCACAACTTCGTTACACTACTATCTTACAGATACAAGTACATACAAGTAGATAAGTCATAACAATCCTAGAACTTCGTAGAAGTTCGTAGAAGTTCTACGTGTGATTACTACTACCCCCCTCCCAAATATGCCATTTCGTGTGCATATTTCAGTTCCACTAACAACATACCACGCAGCGGTCGCAGTTCTTGCCGGTGACGTGACGCTTGCAGATGCAGTCTCCGGTCCGCGGGTCACAGGTCTGGTCACGAGATGTTCCAATGGGGTTGCACTGGCAGGCTTTGAGAGAGATAAACACACACACAGTTACTAACAAATGACACAACTGTCCATGTACCAACGGGTACAGATCTGATGACCAATCAGAGAGATTTAAACAGAAGCAATGGGCCAGGAAGTATTTTTTGTGATTCGTGTGTAAACTTTTCTTTTAGTTTTGCAGTTTCTTTCAGCTTTGTAGTTTCACCAATTTTTCTATTATCTTTTTTCTTCTGTATTGCACTTCACCAACTTTCTTGGATTCATGTATCTTTCATTTTTGCCTGGATTAATTTTTCCTTCATGTTCACACAGTATGAACTAATCCTTCCTGGTCCATTCCTTTGTCAGTAACACCTTCTTTCCTTCAACCACAACGTAGGAATTAGGGTTGACGGGTACTGCAGGGAGCCCTTTGACTAACAAGCACCGACCGATGTATGCTGACTCGACCTTGAGCGGGGCCCCTGATCTTGGGACAGAGGTTGTGAGGTAGCCTTGAAAGGGGGGGGGGGTTACTTCCTACATGCCTTCAGGCAAAAGGACAGAACACGACATATGTTCTTCTCTCGTGTGCGAGAACATTTCGACCATGTCTTAACAAATCCTATCTACCTTTTTCAACTGAACTGTCCACCATTCCAGCTAAGTATTTAACAAGAAAGAAGACTAGTACAAAGCCTCAAAGATCAGTATGAGCTTTGGTCGGAAGGGAATATTTGCCTACAAACACATCAAGCTATGAATGAATCCAGAAGCGGAAATAGGGAAGTCACTTTCTCTTGCTCCAACATTTTCATGTTTTGTACTTTAGAGAGCCTGTACTCCATTAAAAGAGGGGCACCCGTGCTTGGACAACACACCTCCTGTATTCATCCCATTGTTAACACTGACCCAGAGTGTTGTGGGTTCAGCTCGGCACTGCTACAACATATCCACTTCGGTGGAGAAGAAAGGCTGGCGAAATGGCTCTCTTTTAAACAGGACACTGAGACACTTAACTTTACCTATTGTGGTAGGTAGGGGTGTTTAAAAACTGGATTTTTGAAAACCAGAGCCTGTCATCAGTTTTACAACTTGTGAAAAGATTGTGTTTTTTTCACCAGGTATAAATTTTCCCAGCACCTTTCGGTGGGTTTAGCCAACACCTTAAATGATGGGTGTCTGCATTCCAGGCAGCTTTCTGCCTCCCCAGCCTTCAGTGGGCCTGGGACCTAAAAACAGTTGACAACTCACATCCTCTCCCAGGGTCCAGACCTTGCAATTTTGTCATTCCACCCCCGGCCCTCCTATCAATTTTGACCCACTGCACACGCCCGTGTGGACAGCCTATGATTAGGAGTACTCTGCAACAACGGTGATCTGTCTGATCCCTGGGCTGGAAATCCCACCTGCATGTGCAGGTTAGTGCAGGTAAAATTGGGGCTCTGCAGGTATTTTTTATGTTTACCTACAGCTTAAATTGTACTGGGTTCATATAGGTACCTACCTGGGTTCATATAGGAATGAGAATTTTTATTTGTGTATCGACTGGTATAACCAACATTTTGAATGAAGTGCAAAAGAAATAATAGTTCCGGGAAACAGATTTTAACATGCTCCATACTTCCTAAATTCTGAGTAGTGCAGGTAAGTTTTTTCTGGTGCAGGTAATTTCCAATGTTACCTGCACCTGTGCAGGTATATGCAGAAAAAACATATTTATTTCAATCCTTGAACCCGTAACATCAGGGCAAAGGTCAGCATACAGAGGTCAGGGTAAGTGGCATTAATTAAAAGGCTCCTTGCGACACCTAAAGCCACCCCAGCCCTTTGAAGTGTCCAGACTGGCCGGCCGGCCTTCCCCCACCACTCTGCTACACCTGTGAACCAGCAATTGGGTTAGCGATCTGCTCCGGGCACCAGGCGTGTGGAATGTGGTTACCATGGCAATAAACTCCGACTATCTAGGCTGCTCAGCAAATTTCAAGGTGTTAAAAAGTTGGCAGCTTTCTTCTCTATTGATCCGCGGATAATTTGGAGTCTAGTTTGTGAGCTTGTTGTTCATTCTTTCATGGGTTTCGATTTCAACCCGTGACAAAACCCTTTCAAATGAACATTTCAATTGAATAGAAACAGATTTATAATGTACATAATATAACATAATGTACCATAGCCAAAAAGAATTTGATGTCATCATTTGTCTTTGTCACTACAGATAATATCATATGCAGTGACCTGTATACAGGAAACATCTTTCAATCAGATTTGAATGCATTACTGTATATGACATTGCCCTTAGTGCCCACTTCCACACACCTTGAAGTATATACAACACCAGAGTTAAGAAGAACAATTAAGCAAAGAAGAGCACATGTCAAACAAAAGACCTTGTCACCCTGTGAGAACAATGTGCAACCAAACCAAAAAAGAAGAAGCAAAATGTGGCAGTTATTTTTTGCGGCAGATCCAGTAGTTGTGAGTCGTGCGTGTCTAAATGCTCTGCAGCCCCGGCCACCAATGTTTTCCATCCTTTTTTACGACTTACGACCGTTTTGACGTAGACCGGGCACGTAGGGCCACATGGGCTGGCCCTGGCGGAGCCAGTTGCTGGTGTCGGGGACGTCGGCATGCAACTTATGAGGGACCGATGGGATCGCTGTGTGTCAAATGTCGGAGGGGACAAGACAGAAACATGCAACACATCAACACAACATGGCATAACAACACAAGATGCAACAATACAGACACAAAGCTTTTACAAATGGTATGAAACAAGACAACACGTAAACAGCACAAAACACAGAAACAAGACTTGACAGCTTGCATCGACCACAGAGAGAAAACTAAGATTTCAGAACAACTGGTATCTTTTTCCAGATATCAGCTTTCCCATGGCTAACGACTATGTTCTTGACAAAAGTCTGGCAATTTCTCACGGTTAAGAATTTAAAACAAAACAATATTCAAGGCCAGACATCTGCTAGCAATGCAAAATATTCCTCTCCTAATCTTGTCAAGCATATTTTACAACATTTAAAAGAAATCTGATGTGTGATTTTAAGTAAGCAAAACATGAATTTTGGAACAAATCCAAAGAGTCTCAAAATTTCAGAACATTTGAAAACTAAATTTTCAATTCAAACAGAAGACAAACAAACAGAAAAGGCAGAGACAACAGAATGATTCTCCTCGACATGCGAGCATCTCTCTCCGTACCTTCACATCCCTCGGGGTTGTCAGCGCGCATGTTCCAGTACCCGCCCCGGCAGCGGTCGCAGCGCTCGCCGTCCACGTTACGCTTACAGATGCAGCGTCCGGCCACCAGGTTGTTGGCGGGGTCCGTGCGGCTCTCGCACTCTCCTCCGTTCACAGCTCCGTCTGGGTCACAGTCACATGCTGCAAAGGTTCGTGGAAGGAAAACATGTGTTAAGCAATGGTTGATTTTGTGGATTATGTGTTTTATTCTCTGTGTCCTTTTGGTTATGTTATGTGTCTGTGTGTATGTTATGTGAAATGTTTCAGAAGAACATCAAATTTAAAGCCTAGAAACTGAATTGTGATGACTTGTTTCTGTTTATAAAAATTCAAAAATGGGTAAGAAGTTGTACATAGGGTATTGATGTCTAGATACTGAAGTAAAAACCTTTCAGCAAGACTGAAATGCACTACAGATGATACAAGAGGAAAAAATCTGTCAAAAACCATCAACAAAGCCTTCCTTTTGTTAGCATATAGCATATCCATACCAAGCTGAAGGGATGTGCAAGCTATTACTTGTAGTCCTCCCCCAGTAACCTACTGTGCTGGGAATATCTCAACATCAAAGGCCCCTGTCTGCCAAGTGGTCAAAGACGACCATAACAAATTAGGGGCTAATTGTTTCCATGGCTCTGACATTGAACCATCGGCTCTGCAAAGTATGCAATACTGTCAGAACCGCTAATGGATAGTAATGCTTGCTGGGCTCTGAATTATTGAGGACTTGTGGAGAAATGCTGTAATGCAGAAAGGAGCTATTGGGTCCCTGTGCAGATTCTGTCATTTAAAATCTTTCAACTTCAATTGGAGGTTGGCAGGGTTTCATGATGTAACAAACTGGTTGGAAAGAACTGAATGTCAGCTTTGTATGATTTAAACATTCATCCACGTGCCTTAGAACTAGCTTCTTCAACCGGCATGTCTTAAAGATACTATAGTCCTTTTCTTGTAAACATACATCTTTACAAGTTAACTTGCCAAGCTACACTCTACCCTAGTTTTATATTTTGCGTCCAAACACAGGGATTTCTTTCAATCATCCAATCAGCCGCAAGAATGCTGCAGTGTCACCCGAGGTCAAAGATGGTCGCTGCCGATGTTAATCTGATAAAGTAGACACACAGCACTTTATCGATCCTCAGCATGCAACGGTTTATTGGGGATATCCATCACTGTCTACTGCCACTTGTAGGCGGCAGATTTATTCAGCAGAAAGGAAGGATTTGGGGAGAGAAAACTGTGAGAATCTGGCAACTGTCCATCACCGGGCGGTAATCTGGAGGTCACGGTCTGCTGCGGGAGGGGGGCGTTTACGTGTCTGCCGTCTCCTCCGTGCAATCTAATCAGGGCAGGGGAAAATTTGATTGCCGTCCGACAGAAGCTAATTTAGACTACACCTTCACTACACTTATCAAGATGAAGATACGCGGGATTGACATCTTGACTGGGTGGAATCAAATTAAGACGGAACGCGGATTGAGGAGTCCCCGGACTGCAGGGTGAGAGGAGCCGGTGATAAATGAGACCCACTGTTTTAACAAAATTAGGGATGTACAAATAAATGTAGACCTTTGCTTTTGGAAACTGGGGAAGATATTGGTTATTATGGAAAGTGATGAAGAATTTTCCAGCAAATATAGGTTGAGTTTGAGAAATCCTAGTCGACAATTAGTCTTTTATGTGGGCACAAAAACATGCGACAGGGTTTCTTTTTACCTCTCACAATCTGTCTCTTAAAAGGGGTCTTTATCAAGTTTATGTCGCATTTGCGGTTTATCACTCAAACAACAGTTGGCACCAGTTGGATTCAATCCAAGTCTTGAACATGAGAAGCGTATTCTTCCTTGGGGAAGTAAGAGGGACCACCTCTGCACTGGTGACTGTAAATGTCGTGAAAAAAATGTACTTGGACACTAATAATGGTTAATAGTAACTGTTTTAGAAGTAGCCTGGTTTTCAATTTACTTTATGTCCATATCATTGTTTGCTATACAGGGCTCGAAATACTTCTTTCTGGATACCTGCACTGGTATAGGTAACAAATTTTATCTGCATTATTGAAAAACTGTCTTTTATACTTCATAGGTGGTAGCAGCCAATGCAGCAAATAAAAAATACACAGATACCTACATGTAAATGTAAACCCAGTACATGGACTAGTACAGGTATATATTAGAAATACCTGCACAGTTCCAATTTTATCTGCACTAACCTGGATATGCAGGTGAGGTGGCATTTTGAGCCCTAGTATACATTTATTACACTTGCAATTAGCCCTGAACATAGATTTGTAACAAAGTTATTACTATACTAACGTAGACAGATGTTGGGGTCTCGGATGTCCTTGTTGGGGTCCTGGTAGTAGAAGGGTTTGCACTCCTCACAGTTCCTGCCCATGGTGTTGTGCTGGCAGTCGTCACACACCCCACCGCTCACACGCCCGGTCTGCTCGTACACCGCTGGGTCAAAGTGGCACTTGTTGGAGTGGCTGTTACAGTTACAACCTGGGGAAAAGATAAATGTATTTCAAGTCATCATACACAAAAAAAAACATTTATTTCGGAAACTGTATAGATTTTCAAAACTCTCATATCATCATGTTTATATACAAGAGACTTCTGAACAAGAATTTTGAGATTTCAGACAAATTTGGGAAGTATGCAATCCCTCAGGCTTTACGTCTTCTTGGAAGGGATGTAAAGCTGGAGGTCACGTGTTTGAGGGGACCCAAACCATGAGCATGTTTAAGATCCTATCGCACTTATCGAACAGAATAGGGGAGGAGTCCTTTCCGGTTTGAGTGGTTCAAATGCTGCAATCCTGTCTTACCTAGCCTGTACTTACTGTACAGAACAGGTAAGTTATGCCTGAAGGTGGTTTCTCTGTTATTTCTTGTTCTCTTCTGGGCTGCTGTATCTGTATCTGTATAGCCGCCTTTCGGCGTAACACACCAGCTTCGCAGGCACGCGGCGCGGCGGCAGCTGGCTATATTACACCAATCGACTTGTTACACCTAACCCTTGAACTTCTAGCTCTAGACATTGTTTAAAGCTATCTATTGACAAGGCCCCTACTGTACATGGTGACAGTGAGTTCCACTCTGCGATAGTTCTAGGAAAGAATGAATTCTTGAACACCTCAATCCTTGGTTGATAACTCTGGTACTTGAATGCGTGGCTATTTAGTTATGTGAAACAAACAGCCTTACGTTTGCAGGCATTGGTGTCGCTTCCACGCGCCGGTCTCCACGGTTGGTCGTTGAAGAAGTCCTGGCAGGCCTCGCAGTTCAGACCCTTGGTGTTGTGCTTACAGGCACACTTGCCGTGCACCTGGAAATAAGGAAGGGAGGAATGAATGAATGACTGAATGAATAGATGGATGAATGAAGACCTTTATTGTACATGTACATGCATACCTGGTGGGCTATGGGACTATCTTTACCTTTTCTTTCTCTGTGGTAGATAGGAGTTGTAGGTCTTGTTAGTGCCTTGCATCTGCAGCCATTGGTGCCACTTCCACATGCACAAAACTTTCTTACAGCAATATCAATGGACCAACTTACCATTCCCTCCACTGGGGTGACTCCGTCGACGGGTTCGCAGGTCTCGGCGTGTCCGTAGCAGAAGCAGTTTCCCCTGACGATCATGTCGTACACAGCGTAGTAGTACTTCTCGCGGATCTTGGGCCGGTTGTCCAGCAGCTCGTCCCCGAGGGTGTGCAGCTTGGTGAAGTTGATGCGCAGGTTGGTTATACGGAGAAGGTCACGGACTTCCTGGCTGTAGGGGTCGACGACCTCCAGGGCTGGCGGGAGCACCCTGTAGATGACCTGTGCAAGAGGGTAACACAGTAAGATCACAGTACAGCTAGGAACACACAAGGAAACTACCTACAATGCTTGGGATGGAAGCTTTAGGTTTTTTTCTTCTTAATTTGTCATGTTGTATCTCTGTACAAGAAGGTAACGCGGTAAGGTATAGAAAACCTTTACACGCAAAAACAGGTGTTGCTTAACCCTCTCCCAATATGATTCCAAGTTTGGTGCCAAATGGCTACCTTTGGAGGCTGAAGGGTAAGACATTTTTCACAATTTGTAATGTCAATTCTTTCTCCAGTGTCATCTGTGGTTAGAAGAAAAAAAGCAGCTAAGATATCACCTGCAAAACTTGCCAAGGTAAGACAGAAAGAGTGTGTGTGGAAGTTATTTGACGGTTTGTGGCAGAGTGTGCAAACGTGCTTTCAGCTGTATGTGCATACAGCAAGCAGTTGCTTCAGTATCATTCTTGTTCTACGGCAAAATAATCCATGAAACAAGTTATCAGATTCATGTTGCCTGATTGAAAGAAGAAGCTATCACAACAGATTATCTGTGATCACAAAATAAAACAGTACAAGGTTTGGCCTGGACAACCCAGGCCCACCTGTACCAACAGTGCCTTGTGTTTCTCTGTCAGCAAGTTTGTATTTGCCAGGGACAGTACAAGACAAAGTGAACTGAGGAGGGTACCAGAAAATGAAAATAGATTCAAATGGGTGTCATCCTTGCCTAACAATGTGTACTACGTCGGTGTGGGCAAATGTTAAACATCCTAGCTACACCTGTGTGGCCTTGGATGTCTTTATGCATGACTCTGAGTCTACATCTGATTAAACAGCAGCTACTGATAAAGGCAGACATGCCTGAAGGTGTTCTGTTCCGAGATTCTTTCTGAAACACCTTGAAATGTCATGTCAAAGGGCACGTGCACATGTACTTACGATGACTGAATTCCTTATCAATTTTGTACATCAACAGACTTGAGTCCCCCCTGGCAAAAATGTGTGACCTTCCACTCTTTACAGCACCAAATTTGTCTAATGCATTAACATAGATGTCAGCAAAATCTGGTGTTGCACTTTTCAGTAAGCTTTAATTTGTATATTTTCTTCATAATTGTCAAAAACATATCTTGGAGCTCCTTCATTCAGAATGTTTCAAGACAAAAATCTGAGGCTCATTTTTCCTTCATTTAATCAAATCTACGCTTAAATTATGAAATGTAGTATTCTATGTGGCAGCCTCTATTCCTGTTGATATATATTCACAGGCATACTCAGGCATCCAATTTACGACTGAGTAGAGAGCCAGACACAAGCTGCACTAGACATGTGCATGACTAGACTATTGATACTGTTATGTTACAGGAAGGCAACTGACAGTCTGTGAAAAATCACCAGCACTGTTGCCAATAATATTGGCAGGTTCTAATGCTTTTGACTTCTTGTTCCTCTGTGCTTCAATCCACATGAATAATTCTTTATCTTAGTGCATTTTAAACCCTCAGTCTTATACTTGAGAAAGGCTACATAATATATGCTTTAATAAACTGGCATTATGATAGCACTTTTAAATGCACTAATGACCACCTCTTGAATATTCATTTAGTCCATGTATTTTTTCATGCTTTTTGTTGCTGTAGAAAAAAATTTGGCACCAAATTTGCATTGGTTATTGGGTTAGGTAGTCTGCAAAAGTTTAAATGATGAATAATTATCTATTTTCCCCGTAATCGATTTGATATGTACATGTCACTAATGTTAACGATGTGTTGTTCTTGTGTAAGAATCCCAGGAGGTACTCCACACTACCTGCCTAGTCACAACACCCATCCCATGAGATGGCTTCGGAAGGGACGCAAAACAAAGGCAGGAAATGACAGAATTCCAAGAGAGATCAGAAAGATAGGTCTTCCATGGTGACTAGGTGTACAGTACCTGAGAGCTGTAGTCCTTGGTGCCTAAACTTGTCACAGACTAGGCTAAATACTTGTGTAAAACACTGAATACACACTAGCTTTAACTAGGGACAATTCAATGTCTGGATTACCTTAAAACACCTTGAACAGAAAAACTGTAACAAATTTAATTTTAACTAGAAAGGCAGACATTTGCTTGGGAGCAAATACAGCATATTTCAGTCCATCTCCCTCCCACGCAAAAGTGGACTATTCCAAACTTACCTCAGTGCAAAACTTTCAAAGGTTCTCAAATAAATGAATTAAATAGTAGCTATATGTAATTGAGAACAAAGATGCTAGAACAGGCACTTTGGATCTCGAAAGCTTTACTAATCTTATTACAGGTATGCAAATACTAACAATGATGAGATTTGATACATTTTGAAGGTCTTGGGCACATAAAATTGAATGTGTGGGTCATTGCGCACGACTTACGTGCAATGTGACCCCAGGTAACCCGCAAATGGAACATGTGTTCCATGGCCAACAGCAGATGGAACAGGCCATTCTTTAGATAGAACGTGGAACGGGTACAGCACTTTTGGCCCTTTTTTTGGTCTGAAATAGCCATTAAAGTCCCCTAAATGAGTCATTTGCAAGTGGTGTATGCCAAATATGTGACAGCTATTCTGTAGACACATGTTCAAGGTACCCTTATACCGAATTTCAGATCATTTGGTTGTAATACCAGGGCTCAGGATCCAAAAGTCCATTTTTTGTCGAAAAATGCCCCAAAAAACCTTCATAAAAATTTTTCAAAGGCATGTATCAAAAAAATGAAAAAAACGCCTGGGGGTATTGGCCCACTCTACCTCCATGCCAAATTTCAAGTCATTTGGCTGAATGATGGCGGAGTTGAATCCCTTTGACTGTTTGGCAGGAGGAGAAGAAGAAACATGAGAGAACACAATATATTTCATCCATACCATATATGGTATGGACTGAAATATAATCATCGTACTTCGCATCTCTTGGTCTATCAACTTATCTTTTTCACACTTTATTTTTTTTAATAAAGCAACATTCCATCTCATTCCTAAAACTATCTCTTCTCAAAAGTATGAAAGCAGACTTATCTTACATATTAACTATGCACAACTATCATAATGTTACATGATGTCCTTGCATACATCTTACCCTGTCTCAGTGGGAGGTAGTCAGTTTGTTTATAGAAATATGACATCCAATATCTGCTTTATGTGAGTGCATGTACAGTCTACCAGCAGACGCTTCTGGAATGGGTGGAACTTACTCTCAATGTCACACAGATCAGTTATTTGGCCCCTCGCACGGGTAGATTATGTCCAGCAAACGGAAAGATCAGTTCGAAACACAAACAGCTCTCGACCTATGAACGCTGGAGTGACATTTTTTGACGTTTCAGAATATCTGTTTACACCACAACTGTCTCACATTTAAAGAGCATCAGAATATCAGAGTGTTTGTTCACTAAATAACATTCTATACTTCCTGTACATGGCAATTTTTCCACATACATGTTCCCCCACTACAAGCCCAAGTTTTCCGTTATGGGCACTTCTGCCCTGGTAGTGCCATCGGGGTGAAACCTAAAATATGCACCTGTCATTGTCACTCTAACCTTAACTCCATTAAAAGAGCAGTTGGAAAATCCAACCACCACTTCCATGCCCGTAGCCAGGGGGGTTCGGACGAACCCCCCACAAGGCTCAAAGGTCCACTTTTTGGTCCCCTTTTTATGTTAAGGTCCACTTTTTGGTCCACATTTTATGTAAAGGTCCACTTTTTGATCCACATTTTATGTAAAGGTCCAAGATTTTTCTTGAAAAGATGGACTGGAATCGTAGAAAAACTGCTCCATTTGTCATTGAATAAAAAGTTAACTCTGATTTTTTCTTGGAAATCCTCTCAAAAATGCACGAAATGCCATTTTAGAAGGTTCATTTTTCAAAATTTTCCGGGGGAGCATGCCCCCGGACCCCCCTAGGAACCTCGCGCCTTCGGCGCTCGCCTCACGCCTACGGCGCTCGAGGTTCCCTCAAGCAGTGGGACGAACCCCCCCATTCAAAATCCTGGCTACGGGCATGACTTCCCATAAACTACAGTCTGTAAAAATGTGTGTCAGATAGCGATTTAGTGAAAATGTTTGAGCTTTTTGATGCGGATAACAAAAATGATGCAACAAACTTTCCATTAATCGTTTTTTTCACATCCTATTTCAGGAAACTTTACTTCAAATTCTTTCAGCATCTTCTACAATATCAAAACCTGCCATCACAATTTTTACGCATTGCAAATGCAAAATTCCTAGAGTTCCAAAGGAAAGCCCCATGCAAGGCAAGAAAAAGTTCTGCAATGAAAACAGTTGCTTGGACTTTCCAGCTATGTGGGAATTTTATTCGACAGGAATGCCTGCATAGGGAATCCTTCCTTCGTTGCCTGAGGCTACCTTTTAAATTTCCTTGACTTTTCCATTATTCAACTGGCTGTTCTAGATGTAACTGACGCCATGTTATTTGGCAGAGGGGGGTGGGGTTGGTGGATACAAGTTAGGTAAACTGTGGAAATGCAGCATAGATCTTCTCCTAAATGTCGATTTGCTTGCTTTTTATTGGAAACAGACAAATGGGAGAAGTTTAATTGTATTGCATCACTGATCAATAGACACAAATTCGGGAATTCTTATACTGTTTATAGGCTCGACACGTATTTTTCGCATCGGCGTCCATGCGTGAAAACAAAAGCATGCATGTTATTTACGACAGAAAGCACAAACGCGCCTGTCCTAGTTTTCTGCAAGGGAAGGCCGTCCACCTGGCTAATCTGGAGCCACGCCAGAGGCATGCTGGGACACCCGGGTGATTAATGCCGTGGTTTAACTGGTTAATCCACCTCCTTATCTACTCAGCAAGAGGCTGATGGGACGACCAATTAACGAACAATACCCTGTAAGCAATCTGATCTACACATGGTAATTTTCTCAAAACATATGCTGCAAGAAAAGTTTGAAATCTCCTTGAATAAACCCACTTGTGTAAAGGACAATCTACTAAGAAAGAAATAATATAATTAAAATTAGATTCTAGGAATCATATTTTTACGGAATTCAGGTTTCTCCAAACATTCAATGTTGGACTCAAACACTTTTCTTTTACAGATTTAGTATGTGATTACCATGATTATGGGATCATCAATATGTTCACCTTGTCAGCTGTTATCAATTCCATCTTCTGCATGTCTCAAAAAGTGGTATATGAGATAGATATCAGGACAAGTCATTTGAATATTGAAATATTACTCCCACTGTGTGTGTGTGTGGAGGAAGGCACATGTTTCAGTATGTGGGGATGACCTAAGGTTGGAGAAAAGTAGATGAAATGGAACACCCCTCTATGGCCCCCTGAATGCACACTCTCGAACTACAGTATGCTCTATACATTGCTTTTATTTCACAGTATGAGGAAAAAATCTTGCAGTGTTTTAAATTCACGGTTAAAACAATTCTTAAGTAAATAATACATTGGGAGTGCATATTCAAGGTGGAGAGGTCATCATTAAAATATAGCTACTGCAAAAATTTACAGATTTACAGTATTAAGACTTTCCTCCTTGACTCTGTAAGTTGTAACAGCACAGACCACCAAGTGTGGGGAATCAGAGATGGCAAACCTGATAACTACACACTACACTGTGTGTGTGTGTGTGTGTGTGTGATGTCAGGGCTCAAAATACTGGGTGCAGGTAAAATTGGAGCTGTGCAGGACAGGTATTTCTGATGTCTACCTGTTCCTAACCTGTACTGATTTGCCATGTAGTGGGTTTATCTATACATGTAGGTGTACTTGGATTTTTATTTGCTGCATTGACTGTCACCAATTATATGAAGTATAGTAATGGCTATAGTTTCTAACAATTTTTAGTATGATCCATACTTCCTAAATTCTGAGTAGTGCAGGTAGAATTAATTTGTCTGGTGCAGGTGATTTTCAATGTTACCTGCATCAGTTCAGGTATGCAGAAAAAAGTATTTTGAGCCCTGGCACTGTGTGTGTGTGGTGTAAAAACACACAGCTTAATGTCTTCTGTACTTGAACATGAAGCCCAAAACTCCCATAGAAAGGAACCAGATGCCGGATCAGCCGACCCACAAACACTTCCACAGTCCCCGTCTTTATCACACCAAGACAGACTATCCACTTCCCTCCCGATTACATCTGGCACGGGGACACACAACAGACCTAATCCTGGGCTGTATGACTATGATATATCACACAACCTACAACTTCAACCTCTCGTGCATGTGAACTGGATACTGATGTATAGACAGCCTCTCTTGACACTGGGATCATTAGTCCGCATGTTGTTTCCAAAAGAAACTGGGTTTGTTTGACTTCTAACCCCTTCCACTGCCTCCCAATGAAAGGTAGGGTTGGTACCACCCAATTGGGAGTATGCTGCACTTTTCCCAGCCAGAAAAGACAGCTTATTGAGGGAAACTGAAATTCCAATGCATGTTTGCAGTTTTTTAATTTTTAACTTTAATACTGGTACACCCTTTTCAATCTCCAAGCAGATATTGGGTGGAAGAATAGTTTAACTTAGGTACACCTTTATTACCCTCCAAGCAGATGTTGGGTGCAAAAAAAGAATACTGTTACTTTCAATGTTGTCATTGGCAGACCTATATATAGAGTCAAGTGCTGACTTTACGCTTCAAAAAAAGACTCTACAAAATGTTATCTACATCTTACATCTCTTTGCCTTGCAGCCCGAGAGGTGCTTATAACCCTCTCCGACTTGTAACACAAACAGTACGGTCTAGTACCATTCAGCACAAGGAGCAACACAAGGGACAGAGGTTATGACACGAGTCTGTGGTTTAAAAACTATTTTCTGCATTTTTTCCAAATTTTACCTGCACAGAATTTATAAAGTATGGATCAAACTAAAATTGTTCAGAAAGCATTGCCATTACTTCCTTTATACTTCGTAGGTAGTAACAGTCAACACAGCAAAGAAAAATCCACATACACCTACATTTGATTTGTATATACCGGTAAACCCAATACACAGACCAGTGCAGGTTAGGTGACATCAGAAATACGCAGGTCGTATTTTGCGCCCTGGTGGTGTAAGTCCGGCTTCGTGAAAAGATACAAACACGAAAGAAAAAGACGCATTCAACGTGCGTGTTGCCAAAGCGCAAAGATGTCACAACACTTGACAAAACCTAAAGAAAGTCGGTTCTACAATGTGCACAGTCCATTCAGGTCTTGATGTCCTGCTCAGTGTCTGAAGAAAAGACTGAATCAACCAACTCTCACTAGCAAACCTTTCAGTCTTTGCACTTATTTAAAAACTCCCTATCTTTAAGCCGCATTATGTGTGTTAGAGGAATGCATGCTAGATGCGAGTGTTGGTAACAGCTGTAGACTACATGCATGCAATTAGCACTTTAGGGACTGAACAGGTGCAATTTTCTATAACACAGTGGTACCAGAACACCTGAACAAAAGTTTCACAGCACGGCCCGTAAAGTTCCTCTCGTGGCTCCTCTTCCATCTCTCATCTCCCTTAAAATTCTTGAGCTGATACTTTCAGCCAAGTTCAGCGCACACGGGGCGCGGATGGTCGCCCTCCATTTACGGCGTGTTTCGTGCGTTCTGTTTTAACCAAATCACCTGTGCAATGCGTGTGGGTGTCAGGAATGTCGTGAGAAAGGCTCTCTGTGTGGGAATTGCAGTGGGACGGAAAGTTTCTATGACACGTTCCCTGCAGGCAAGAAAAGTCTGCGGAGTGATTCTTAACCTTCGGCCTGCTAAGGTAGCCATTTAGCACAAAATTTATATAAGTTTTATAGAGTTAAAGGGAGAAGATTATTTACTAAGGAAAAACTCTGCCACCGAAATTGTCAGTGATCGAATCATATAGGATTCACCAAGATGGGGGGAAGAGGGAAAATGTTAGCAGCATTTCTTCATTATTCTGCTCAACAAATTCTCCAACCTCAAACCTGAAGTGAATTTATTTTACTTGTCAGGCCATTGGCCAATTTTTCTTTCCAAACATCCAGGTATAAACGTTCTGACCATTTTCACCCCAGATCTTCAGATGATTTTCAGATAAAGAGCTCTTACCTCTCCTTCGGTAGACGGCTCGACCTGGGAGTATCTGGAGATGCAGACCACCTCGCCTATCCTCTGAGGCAGACGCTGGGGGACGCCGGGAAAGCTCTCGGGACAGTTGTACGCGAAGTACCTGTACACCTGCCACGAGCGGCCGAAATCAGACGACCTCTCGATCAACATGGCTGCCGGGCGGAAGGTCTTGAAGGTCATGATCAAATGGGTCAGGTGGAACTCGGCCTCAAGGTCGAGCTGAAGGTGAACGCTCTCCACGCCGTTGACGGACTGCCACCAGGTCTTCTTGCGGTTTTCCGTGAAGGTGGTGACCATGTTCTCGGGCCGGTGGCTGTTCTCGTTGTAGTAGTCTCTATACGGCTGCCGGGAGTCGCAGATAAAGCATTTGGTGATGTCCTGTAAGTGGCTAACTATGCAGTACTGGGAGGGGCTCTGCGTGCCGCAGGTGGACGACGCCGTCAGGTTCTTTTCTCTCCCCACCAGGAGGTCGCCCGTGGCAGGATAGCAGCTCCCGTTGTCGCAGTTCTGAGCAGATGTGCTCACTGCTGTAAAATAAGTAAAAAACTTGTCAGAAAATTGCTGAACAGTTCAGTATGGCAGACATTGAATCATATTCAACATACTTTACAAACACACCCTTATAGAAATTACGAGATATCAATGAAAGAATTAAAAAAAACATCTGTTCAAGATCAATCTCATCAAGAAACTGATGAAAATTTTTTTTTAATCCTATCTGCAATAACACTGTAGATTGCTTGTAAACTGTAGAAAATTGCAATCCTGTACCTCAAACTCTTATTGTTATCATTTCACAAGAAGCTTGACAAGATCACAGTTTCATATACAAACATGTATATGTGCTGTAACTGTAGGTTTGCGTGTTCTACTTTCTCATCCACACCTGTCAAGGTCAAGGGCCAAGGTCACAGCGCCATTAATCACCGCCGAGCACGGCCAAGTCAAATTGACCAAGAACAGGAGAAACCGTGGGGCATGGGCAAAACAAACGGACTATTTCAGGGGTTGGAACAGGGCCCTTCCATGAATGCATAGCAGGGATTTTTCAAGCAGCAGACCAAGGAGGTGGTTTTCATTGGCAAAACCTCAACTATCCTCACAATCCGCCTGTTTCTGTCTCTCTCTCTGAAGACACAGGAACCCCCTGGCTATCCCAAACAAGGACAACATCATTGCTGCTGGCCTTTCTCCAGTTGCCATGGCAACGTCATCAGCATGGCGCTGGTGGTCCTATTACTGGGGCTCCACCAATCGATGAACTTCTGACCTTTTCTTTCAACAGGCGCCCCTCTCCAGTGGACACCAGTGTGCCCTGCCTGGTTAGGGCAGAATAAATGGCAGGGCTGGACACAAACACAGCCTAATCGCAATTTCATGGCGGATGTTTGAGGGCTGGTCACTCTCACATTGGTGTTGGTCATGTTTTTTTCCCTCATAGCTTGCCCAAGACAAGGCGGCAAGGATGCTTTGCACTGATTTTGTTACTCTCCAGTCCAAGCAGAGGCTTAGACTTCATCTTATTTTTGACAAGTTCATGCAGTCGATCGCTGACATCTTCTTCTCTAATTTTTTTGACATTCTTGATGTTTAATGATGCTCTGTACTTGCAAAAGGGAGTAGTGCCTTCTGAAACAATGCACCTGGCAGCTTCCTATTAAACTGCAAGTCACAAGCATATCATTACATTAAGAAATCAGACTGTCATATTAATCTTTCTTTTGAAATCTACCAGCACACATTTTACCATTGTAAAACATATTGAAAGTGTGAGGTAACAATATGGTACCATACAGCAATTCAGATATCAATCAAACAACTCCTAATCCACACCCAGCTTCATAGCTCCCTGAAGAATTAGTTAATCTCCTGCTTGAGATTAGAATCTCACTGATTGATAACTCCTACCTGGATCATCCATTATTGTCATACTTAAGCCTTATCTTTTTTTCTTGTTAATCTGAAAAGATCCCCTTACTGAGCTTGATTTCGAGCTCATTATAGAAGGTAGGGAGTGTGGATATGTGATACTGTGGGGGGAGATGTGCTTCATAATCTTCTTTTTGATGGATAAGCTACCATGAAATCTTATAGTGGACCACTTAAATATAATACCTTCAGGTTTCTATTCACTTACCAATTCAACAGCAAGAGGAACTTTCCTCATCAAACAAGCACTGCTATTAAAAAAATGGTTATGTTTTAGTACAAAATAAAAACCAAAGAGGAAGCTTATGACTTATGTAATACTTTTTTCTATTTTAGTACGACTATCTTGATCATGATTTTTATCTATGGCACAACCATCATTACAAGAACAGATGTCTCAATTACATTCTCTTATCAGATTCCTTAGAAGAAGGTATGTTGTACCAACATATTTCACAAATTCATCTTTCGCTACATCATAACACCTTGCAACGTTTGTATCAAATTAGTTGTTACATTTACAGTGTATTCATTTGGATCGGCCAATGAGACATGTCCCATCTGTATGGGGGTGGTCCCTGGGCCACAAAGACCATTCTCATCAACCCCTCTAATCAGGTTACACATCTACTGGCCTGCTTGATAAATGACATGAAGGGCCCCCCTCCCCCAATAATGTATCTGATTACTTGGAGGTTTTCTTTCTCTTTGTGTACTTTGTATATAATTGTAACCTGCTCTACCTAAAACAAACCTTCCTGACACCATACACACACATAGAAACATGCCCCTATGCCAACCAAAAAAACACATGATATTCTTCTGTGATAAATTTGTATCTTTTGCAACAGAGTTACAGACACTTAACAAATGTAACCTCTTGGTAGAAGGAAGACAATGTTAAGAATAATGCTAACGTTAGCCATATACATGTAACTGTAATATGATGTACAAGTCATTTTCAAACATTTACTAAGTTTTGGTAACAGTTGAGGTTGATCTGTCACTGCTAACTGTATACAACAGTAATTTCTGCATACCACAGTGCTTGTGTAACTTTCAGTCAGTTGTAATCACCACTTTCATCATTATCGTTCCCTTATTTTAGCCCAGACCCGCTATTATTTTTAGATTGTATTACTTTTTAACGTGCCTCCATAAAAGTTTAAAGGGGACATTTTATCTGGAATCAGATAAGAATGCAGACAACATAGAACTAGATGAAGTTACAATTCCCACGACTGTTTGTGGGAGAGTGATTTGCAGATAACCTCCCCACATAACATTGACCTTGCCAGTGCTGGAATGTGGGGAGGGGGGCAGGGGATGAGTGAGACCTCCTCCCTGACCCAGAAAGCTATTCCGCATGATGTATTTATATCTAATAAGCCGTATTGATTTCCAAGACATAAACAGAATTGGTCGCCTCTGGTAGACAGTTCTGGAATACAGAGAGACTTGTCATGTGTGCCGGCAAACGTGCGGCTTGTTTCCCTTGACCTATCAGGGACCTAATTAAATCTGCTCTTGATGCCAGGACCAGGGTAAAATACCATTCCTCCTGTCTGGTGGGTGGTGCAGAGCGTGTATGGGCAGGGCTGTGCCATAAGTAGAAAATGGGGGCGACGGGAGCGGCGTTACAAGCATACCTGCGCGCTGGTCTCAACGTTTACTCTGCCAAAAATAGGGAGGGAGGCACCGACAGTATCCTCCAGGGCGAGGGGGATGAAAGACATTTCTGCTTACCGAGGTCTGCTGAGCTTGTCTTAAAGTTCAATACCTCCGAACTTGGCCTTCAGAAGATTTACTGTGGCTCTAAGGGCTCCTACTTGAGACTAAGTCCTCACAATCGTAAAACTAGGCTAACAGAACGTTACCGCAAATTTACAAACATCACAAACTTGTCTTGCAAGCATGCAAAGATGTAGTGTTCTTGTGGGATGTTTCAAGTTCAAAACGTGTCATGACTCCAAATTTTTACTATGGCTCTGAGAGCTCCTACTCGACTAAATCCTCACAATCATGAACTACACTAACAAACATTACCGCAAATTTACAAACATTCCAAACTCAATCTGGGTCGGTATTGTTCTCGGTGAATGTTTCAAGTTCAAAACATGTTACAACAACTGGAAATGTTGGCAGGAATCCACTGGAAGAGACCTTAGAACAATACCAGGTGACCGAAAGGTCGCCCAAGGAGGTCAGCCAGTGGGGGGAAGGGGTGGAGGAAGCAGCTGTTCACAGAGAACTAGGGTTTCCTTCCTAGATACCAGAGTGTTGCCCCCACATACAGACACTCACAGGGCAACCAGGACAGGGCTCAAAATACCTATTTTCTGCATACCTGTAATGGTGCAGGTAACACTGAAAATTACCTGCAACACTGAATTTAAAAGAAGGTATGGATCACACTAAAAACTCCTCATAAACCATGACCATTATTTCTTTTCTTTTTTATGTCATAGGTGGTAATGGTCAAAGTAGCAATTAAAAGTCATAATAATAAAACATATACCACCATAAACCCAGAACATGGACCAGTGCAGGTTAGGTACAGGTAGACATCAGAAATACCTGCACAGCTCCAATTGTACCTGCAGTAACATGCATTTTACTTCATGTTCTCGAGCTGGGATTTCGAGCCCTGATATCAAAGTGTTGCCCCCACATACAGGCACTCACAGGGTCCTGATTGATTTCAAGTATGGCCTAGCTAAGACGCATGAAATCAGAGAAGTCCTGTAGAAACACTTAAGACACATTTCTCAAGACTTGTCTCACTTGAGCGTGAGTTGAGGTTCCTCCCAAAGGGATGTGATTGGCATGTGAATTACAACATTTAGGCGTCCCAACAATCCCTTGTAACTAACAAGTCACTAAAAAGTCAATTGCAAATGTCATCGACATAAAATAAGACATCCCTTGCTGCCACAAGAATTTGTCTTACACGGTATTCCTCTACTTCCAGACTCCATGTATACTAAGAGATTTTTTAATCCAAGAGATAAAACGCTCTAAAACCTTTTCCCATACTGTTTTCAAATAGAATACACTGACGTGCCCTTCAAAAAAGGGTCAAATAGGAGTATGCGCAGGTTACTACACTGGAAACCTACCAATTACAGACTTCGACACACAATTTTCATCAACACATAATTGCTGAGCAAGCAGCTGACCCCTCGGACATCCCGGCTACACAAATGACCACTGGTCGCTCCGGAAAACCACCTGATGACCCTTACAGTAATCAATGGTTATAATTTATCCATCGCTGAAACATCTGGGGCTAATAACTCATGCCATATATTGGGTCAGACAAATTAATTACTCCTCTGAAGACCCAGGTTTTGCATTTTTTTTGTTATCCAAAGAAATTGTTTTACCAACTAATAATTTGGAAAACTTGAGAAGAAATGTCTGTTACTATTAGTGGTTACCAACTTTTTAAATGAAAACAACAATTTTCATCCCATCCTTTGCCCCTATTCTGGAAGGAGTGAAAAGGCCACTTGTTACAGTTGTTTGGCCTGAGTGTGAAGTGAAAATGTGAAATTAGTCTTTCCTCACTGTGATATAATTATTTCAAGTATGAACA